GGTTAACCTCAAGATTAGACAGCCTATGTGGGAGTTGGTCTCTGAAAGCAACCAATTCTCCTTGTCTCCGCAGCCATTGACCTCCTGCAGCTTTCTGTCTAGGGGTGGGACCATGCGGACTTTCCCCTGTCCTCGTGAACATGTCAACTGGTGGTGTCATTGTGCTGGTCATGTGGAGAGCTCATGGGTGCAACTTCCCTGCTGTGTCTAGGAGATTCTGAGCTAGGAACCACAGATTAGAAAGAACACATGGCATTTGTCTTTCTGGGTCTGGATTCCTTCACTCAGTATATACTCTAGTTCCATCCATTTACCTGCAAAATTCATGGTTTCATTTTTCTTTGCAGCTGAGTAGAATTCCTTCGTATACAAATACCTTTTCATTATCTATTCAGTTTTTAAGGTCATCTAGGATATTCCCATTTCCCAGATATTATGAATACAGTGGCAATGAACATGTCTGAGAAAGTATCTGTGGATGATGTCAAGTCCTTTGAGCATATGGCCCGGAAGTGTTTAGCTGGTAGATTTATTTTTAGCTATTTCAGAATACTCCACATAGATTTCCAGACTGGCTGTACCCGTTTTCAATAGGTAGCTCTACTGCTAGGACATGCAAAGGGTAGAACTAAAGGTAGATGTGACGTATTAGGCACAATAACACTGTGGCAATGCTTTGCGAAAAGTTAAATGGAATAAGCAGCCGTATAGGATATAAAGTTGATTGCAGAAGTTGCATTGTATGTAAAATATCAAATAGGAATGGAAATAAGCAAAAATAAAAAAAATACACTGGGGTCATGAGATGTTTAGGAGCTTTTTTATTTTTTCTTTTTCCATCTCTCCAGCCAATATGATCATATTCTGTTGCCCTCTTTTAACAATGTTTTAAGAGCGTCATACCATAAGCAACTCTTTATCTTGGTTATTTTATTACACTAAATGCATTATCTACCATATTAAGGGAGAGAAAGAGAAGATGGAGGAGAGATAGAGAGAAAGAGAGGGAGAGAATAGCCAGACACTAGGTCCAGGCTGTCCCTCTATCTGTTCTTACTGTAAGACTCTGCTCACACCACATGGCTTCCTATGTTCTCGATGAATGTACAGATTAGCAAAACACCCCTAGCCCACTGGTTAATACAGTTCACACTCTAAACTAACAGAGTGACATTTTCACTCATGTGTTTGTCTTCTGTCCTTGCTTAGCAGAATGTCAACTCCAAGAGACCAATGTACACTTTGTGAAAAAAGGGAAATCAAGTTTGGACCTGTGAAGCTTGAGCCCCACAGACAGTATCAGATGCTGGTCTAGCTGCTGCCCTCAAGACACCCAGTCCAAGTAATTGGTCTCAAGGATATCCTACCATCACTCCCAATATAGCTACAAGACCAGAGTGCATGGAGATGGAAGCATGATCCAGGATGGGGTCAGGAGAGGAGCAAGCACCATAGAAAGCCTTGGGGACTGATTCCATCCAAAGGCTTCAGGAACTCCGTGGAGCAGAGAATTTCATAAAATTTGCTTTCTCTTTTAGGATCTTTCAATGACAGAATGAAAGCTGGATTGAGTTAGGAAAACTGGAGATAGGGAACCAATTGTACTTATCTTGTCACTGTCCAGGAGTGAATGAAAGGGCACAGCCATAGCTAGTGACCCATCAAAAAAAAACCAACAACAACAACAAAAAAAAAACCTGCTGTAGCTCCAGCATATAACGATGTGTCTTCATTTCTTCACTTGTAATATAAAAAAGGAAGTAGCTACCACCCATCTGGGAGGAGAGGTTGCTCTTGTATAGCTTCCTGTGTTATTTGCAATAGTCATCAGAAGGCCGTCCTCCTTTCATACAGCAAGTAGAGATGTTTAATAGCTCTTGAGGCAAAGCAGAGTTTATGAGCCCCGTCTGACCGCACACATTCGGGACTAAGCCCAAACACAATGTTCCTGACCATGCCTGAAAACTGCTGAACGCTGTCTAAAATTATTCCATCACTACAAACGTCAGCAGCGCTGCTGAATGAAACCTCTGCTGTTCCCTGAGCCATTGCTCTGAGCAGCATGTCCTTATACCGTCCTCTGTCTTCCCCTCTCCTGTACAGAATTGCAATGTCTTGGGGCAGATAGCCATCATGGAACAGGCTGTGGCATTTCTCTGCCACACAGCAGGCTATTTGTTCCAGTGTCAGGTTAGCCTTGATCTCACACACACCAGGCAGAGCCTGGGCACACATGGCTTCCTCGTAGGAAGTCTCTTGGAACATTGCCAGCATGTCTGGAGCTATGTTGGAGGGAGGGTTCCCTTGGAGTCTTTTCATTTCTTCTTTCATGACGTTTGCTATTTCCACAGCACAGTGGATCTCATTCGTGATCACTTTTCGAGGAAACTGAGCAGAAGGAGCAGGAAGGCCGCTAACATCTGCATGATAGATTTGGAAAGGATCCAGGAAAAGCCAGAGGATCCCATGGTGAAGGGTTTCACCTGCAGCCCCCTTCACTTTTGGATGGGTGATGCTCTTAGCCTTCAGGTACCAGTCACCGTGTCTCCTACAGAAATTCTCAGCCTCATCCATCACTATATGTTTAATCTTTGGGAACTCTTCTCTCATGAAGGTCCTCTGGGTCACAACTTGGCAAGTGACTTGTTGGCTGTAACCATAAAGGAGAAAAACAGGGTTTCAGGCATATAAACAAAGATAACAGAAGGTTTCCTAGCTCTCTGGATTGGAAATAGAGGCTAATTCTCCTTTGCAGACTGATTCATTAATAGAGGCAGTACAACAAAACCACTCTGCTTCCAAGGTACCTGGCAGATAGAATACAGAGTTTGGGGATTGCTTAGTTAAATTTTCATGTGAATTTCTACTCTGAAGTAGTTAGACAGTCAGGTGGTTTGTACCTATAATCCCATCACTCAGGAGGCTGGGGATCCTGAGTCCAAGGCCAGCCTGGGCTACATAGTGACTATAGGCCAACCTAGCCTGCATAGCAACACTTGATCTCAAAAAAAAAGTTAGGAAATTTTGCTATTTCTGCTGGTCCAACTGTGATGCTTGACAGGGGAAGACAAGATCACTACAGTAAAAGGGAATCTCAAAAGTAACTCATGCCTGTTCCTACTTCCTTAATTTGTCCTTTTAGAATTAGGGAACAGGGCTGGAGAGATGGCTCAGAGGTTAAGAGCACTGGCTGCTCTTCCAGAGGTCCTGAGTTCAATTCCCAGCAACCACATGGTGGCTCAAAACCATCTGTAATGAGATCTGGTGCCCTCTTCTGGCCTGTAGTCATGCATGCTGTATACATAATAAATAAATAAACAAACAAATAAGTAAATCTTAAAAAAAAAAAAGAATTAGGGAACAGTCTCCTACAGGCATATCGTAATCTATACATGCAGAAGAGGTATGTGCTAATTCAAATTTTGTCTACAGCAAGTTCTGTTTCTTTACTTGTCTGACAAAAACCAGAAACTCCTTTGGGTTTTGGTAAGAAAAACACCAGTTGCTGAGTTCCTTCAAGAAGACTGAAAGAAAAAAAAAAACCACAGGGCCCTTCCACTCTCTGGTTCATTTCCCTGTTGTAGTACATTGTAGCATGCATATATGCTACATAAACACGCTTCCCAGATCTGACTGCTTCTTGTCTTCTCTAAGGATCTAATAGGGTGCACTCATACAGATCTTATGTCTACAGTTCCTGGGGCTTTCCTCTCTGTGCTTTGACTTGTAACCACATCCATCCTCTTCCAGCTTGGTCTGTGTGGCTCCTGAAGAAAAGCACCGATTTTCAGCTCTCTTCATACCTTCCTCACATTAGGGGTTTGATAGGTATTTGGCAATTGGGGTTTTAACTGGGACATTTTAAAAATGTAGCTACAGAGCTTCATAATGTCCACGGTCCCTAGCACAATTTCCTCCATAATCTAGCATCTGTAAACATCCCAGCATCACCATTTCCCATAGGTCCACACTCTGGCTCTACTCCAGTTAGAGCTCATTTCTCACTGCCTTTGACCTTGCTGTGCCGTTTGCCTAGGAGGCCCTCCCCATCTCATTCACTTCTCCTACTGTTTATCATTGGCTTGATTGCTTTTGATACAGGGTCTCACTGTGTAGGCCAGGCTGGCCTCAAACTCTCAGTCCCTTGCTTCAGTCTGGAATTACAGGCATGCACTCTCCCACCTGGCTTCCTAATGATTTAGTATGGTCAAGAGTCTCCTTCCCTGGAGAGTATTTGCTGACCAACGTCCAGCCTGAGTGAGGCAGATCTTTATTATAATACCAATAATACAACACTTGCATTGATTGTTTTGTAAACTCTTTGTCGGTTTTTTTTCCTCTGACATTATACTTAATAGCATCTAACATAAATACTGCTCAATAAAACTTTTTTTGAATAATTAAAACTAAAGGAAAAAACATGAATTTTTCTCTCTGCTAAATTGTACAATGTCCACTGAAAGCTAGAAATTTCAATTAGAATTAAAGTTACATGTTTTATAAAATTACTGGTGCAGATGTGTGAATATTTTATGAACAAAGTTAAATTGCATTTAAATTTAAATTCCTGATAGATATAGTGACTAATTATATAACCTAAAGTAAGACAGGTTCATTTCTACTTTTCTTAGATCTAAGGACACATCGTGGGATTGAATTAGAGTCCCGGTTGGGCATGGTGGTGTATCTCTATAATCTCAATGCTCAGGAAGCTGATACAGGAGGATTGAGCTTAAGGAGAAAGACTGTCACAAACAAACAAATGACAAGCATCCCTGACCTGTGTGGGGGTTGAATATGATAAGGTGCCCATTTTAGAGGTCAACCACATTTGGAAATCTGCGTTAACTCAGGCCTTTGCACTCCCACAGTGAAAGAGCATCGCTAAACCTTAAACTTCAAACAAGTTGCTTTTATGACTATGTTGGGAGACTTTTTTCCCCCTGAATTTTAGATGGTAAAAATTCTCACATCACAAAATCCCTGAGGGAGTCATTTTCACAAACATAGAGGATCTCTTTTGGTTTGCAGTGGAATGAATCCTTGATTTTCTCTGTGATCTTTATGGCTAGAGCTGTCTTCCTGATTCCCGGAAAGCAATGGATGAACAATTCCCGGGTTTCCTGGAGGCTCTTGGAGAGTGAGTTGCATTGGTCTTCTATACGCTGCTTGAAAAACTCAGAGCCCAGCTTGTCACTCAGCACCGACCTGGAGCACAGTGAGACCACTACAAGGGCTTGTAGCACATTCTCCACTTCTGTTTTACTACACAGTGTGTAGGATCTGGGGTAGTACACTGGGGACTCATCAGGTCTGGGCCCTCTGCTGGTCAGGTCTATCTGCCTTGGAATGACACACACTTTCCCTGAGTAGCCGCCAAGAGTCTGGAGCTGCTGCTTTAACTGAAGGGCGGTGTTGTACATATAGTCAGATCCTCCATTCCAACTCGGGTCTGTTAAGATTGTGTAGAGTACCAGAGGGCTGTTGACTGCTACCAGGAGAGCATCACACAGGACGTTCTGCTCTTTTGTTAAACCAATGTCACTAGCCCAGCTTCTAGAAACTATCACAATCCCATGAGAACAAGGATATGTCTGTGCCTTCAGTAAGTCCTCCAGTCCTTGATGATCTGAGAACAGCTTCTTACAGAGGGATTCTGGCTGAAATTGTAGGTTTGCCTGTGTCACTGAAAATTGAAGGAATAGAAGTTAAAAAAAAAGAAGCACAGAGCTGCTCTTGCAACCTTGTAGAAAAGGACAACTCTAGCCATGGTTTTCCTTTTACAAAGAGAACATCTGAGGCTGTGATGAGAGACTCCCACACCTGGCAAATCTAGCTTGAAGGGAAGCTGTCAGGAAAAGGTCTACTGAGAAGGCTCTTGGAGCCTTTTCCTGGTCCCAGATGCACACAGCTGCTGGGAAGGCATTGCTTTCTATAAGGGCTTTCTGTGGAGCTGATGACTTGGGGGAAAGTAAGAGACCTCTTTAGGTCACACAGTGGTGGCACTCGGGAGGCAGAGGTAGATGCAGGCAGATCTCTGAGTTCGAGGCCAGCCTAGTCTACAGTCAGTTTCGGGACAGCCAGGGCTACACGGAGAAACTCTGTCTCAGAAAAAGAAAGTAGGAAAGGGGGGGTCTTTGTGGTGGTATTATGTTCCCCGAAATATTGTACATGCTAATAAACTTATCTGGGGTCAGAGAACAGGACAGCCACAATATTAAACATAAAGGTTAAGCAATGGTAGCACACGCCTTTAATCCTAGCATTCCAGAGGTGGAAATCCCTCTGGATCTCTGTGAGTTCAAGGCCACAAGGATACAGCCAAGTATGGTGACTCATGCCCTTAATCCCAGAAAGTGAGCCTTTAATCCCAGACAGTGATGGCAGAAAGCAGAAAGATATATAAGGCGTGAAGACCAGAAACTAGAAGCATTTGGCTGGTTAAGCTTTTAGGCTTTTGAGCAACAGTTCAGCTGAGACCCATTCTGGATGAGGACTCGGAGGCTTCCAGTCTGAGGAAACAGGATCAGCTGAGGAACTAGTGAGGTGAGGTAGCTGTGGCTGGTTCTGCTTCTCTGATCTTCCAGTGTTCACCACAATGCCTGCCCCAGGTTTGTTTTTATTAACAAGACTCTTTAAGATTCATGCTACGGGTCTTCTTTTAGAAAAGTTTTTGTTTGTTTTTGTTTTTTGAGACAGGGTTTCTCTGTGTAGCCCTGACTATCATAAACTCACTTTGTAGACCACGCTGACCTTGAATTCACAGAGATCTGCCTGCTTCTGCCTCCCAAGTGCTGGGATTAAAGGTGTGTACCACCACTGCCCATAGAATAGGAATTCTTTTTTGGGGGGACGGGGGGGGGGGGGGGGGGAGGGGTTCGAGACAGGGTTTCTCTGTAGCTTTGGAGCCTGTCCTGGACTAGCTCTGTAGACCAGGCTGGCCTCGAACTCACAGAGATCCACCTGCCTCTGCCTCCTGAGTGCTGGGATTACAGGCATGCACCAGCACTGCCCGGCAGAATAGGAATTCTTAACCAGAGGTCTGAAGACATTTTATTTTATTGTTACTTGTGTGTGTGTGTATGTTCAGTATATGTGGAAGTCAGAAGACAACTTCCAAAAGTAGACTCTCTCCTTCCGCCGGTATAGGCCCAGAGGTTAAACTCAGGTTATCAGCCTGGTGGCAGCTGCCTTTACCCATCAAGCCATTTCACCAGCTGAGACAATGTCTGGAGACTCTTTGATTATTACAACTGGAGGGAAGCTACAGGCATCTAATGAGTAGAAGTCAGGGATACAGCTAAACATCATATAGTTGACTCTGTGTGTGGTCTGTGGTGTGATTCAAATGTCAGTAGTGCTGAAGCTGGAGAAAATTTGTTTAGAAGACGTTTGTGTAACCCTGTGACTCCCTCTATATTAAAAAGCCATGACCCAGTTCTCATATGATAGAGACCCAAGGAACTCCTGTGGTGGTATTGTGTTCCCCAAAATATTGTGCACCCTAATAAACTTACCTGGGGTCAGAACAGTCACTAGATATAGAGGTGAGAAAATGGTGGCACACACACCTTTAATCCTATCACTTGGGAGGCAGAGATCCATGCGGATCTCTGTGAGTTCAAAGCCAACCTGGAAACAGCCAGGCATGGTGACTCATGCCTTTAATGCCAGGAAGTGATGTCAGAAAGCAGAAAGGTATATAAGGCATGAAAACCAGGAACTAGAAGCTTTTGGCCTGGTTAAGCTTTCAGGCTTTTAAGCAACAGTTCAGCTGAGATTCATTCTGGATGAAGACTGAGAGGCTTCCAGTCTAAGGAAACAAAATCAGCTGAGGAATTGGCGAGGCGAGATAGCTGTGGCTTGTTCTGCTTCCCTGATCTTCCAGTGTTCACCCCAATACCTGGCTCCAGGTTTGATCTTATTAATAAGACCATTTAAGATTCATGCTACAAACTCCAGCACTTTCCATTTTGAAGACTAAAAGACACAGGTGGTTGGAATTCAATACATATAGAAATTTGATGGAGATTGAGGACGAGGATTTAAGAAAACTTTCTTGGGCTGGAGAGATGGCTCAGTGGTTAAGAGCACTGGCTGCTATCCCAGAGGACCCAGGTTCAGTTCCCAGCTCCCATATGGCAGCTCACAACTGTCTGTTCCAGGAGACCTGATGCCTTCACACCAATGCACATAAAATAAAATTAAATAAATTATTTAAAAAAAAGAAAACCCTCTCTCTCTCTCTCTCTCTCTCTCTCTCTCTCTCTCTCTCTCTCTCTCTCTCTCTCTCTCTGTGTGTGTGTGTGTGTGTGTGTGTGTGTGTGTGTGTAATTGTAGGACCACATGTCTACTAACATCTTACATTTGACATTCTCTAAGGAAAAAAAAAAGAAGACTTGGATTACTTGCTATCAATTCCTTCCACCTTAATTCTTTTTTCAATGCTGGGTTTCACACTTAGGACCTTGCCTGTCCTAGGCAAACACTCTACCACTAAACAATGCTTTACTGTATAAAAACAATCTCCTAGGCTGAAATGAAGAGGGAATATACAAACCTGGACTGGGCCACATAGTGAGATACTGTCTCAAAAAACAAACAAAAACCAAACAGAGATGGGTATACCTGGAAACAAATGGCGCTGCAGGGCCTCCTTATATTCCAGGGCTTTTGTGAGATACGCTGGCACTGGCCTTCTTCGCGCAGGTGAAGCTGATGAAATCGAGTGAGCACTGGAATTGGTGCCGGGCAAACTGGAAGGATCTGAACATGTACACAGAAAGCGGTTTCAGATAAAATGAAAATCAAAAGTGGAAGAACTCAGGCCGGGCAGTGGTGGCGCACGCCTTTAATCCCAGCGCTCGGGAGGCAGAGCCAGGAGGATCTCTGTGAGTTCGAGGCCAGCCTGGTCTACAGAGCGAGACCCAGGACAGGCACCAAAGCTACACAGAGAAACCCTGTCTCAAAAAAAAAAAAAGGGGGGAAGAACTCTGCGATTGTTCTTTCTACAGAAGCAGGTGTGAGGTCTTGTGCTGCCTCACACAGCTGTGCACGGCAGGAAAGGGAGCTGGGAACTGCTCTGTGGGTCTCCAGTAGTTTACCTCACTAGGTAATTCATTTCAAACAAGTGGCATTTCTCCTATCTCTCATGAGGTGATGGTCCCTGAGTTTCCTTCCAACACTAAAATCCTGATGCCAGGTCACCTGTAAGAAGAAAGGGAAGCTGCTAGATGACAGCAAAGGGCCACGTGAAGCACTAGATGTCAGCAAAGGGCCACGTGAAGCACAGTTGTTATTTTAAGCTCTAGGACAGTGAGAGAAGCCCCATGTGGCCAAAGGGTTGTATCTATCTAGGGTAACTATCACAGGCTGTAAGTGATAGTTACAGATGATTTTAGTTTCCATCCAAGGTAAGAACCAAATTGAAAGGGGAAGGGTCTTCTGGGGAAAAGAGGAAATACATCAAACAAATTTAGGAAAGGACAAAGGATGATGTCATGAGTCTGCAATGACTGGCATCTGTATCCACTGATCTAAACGTTTCATCGAATTGGGAGCATGTGATCCTGCAAACAAGGGAATGAGCTTATTTATAAGTCTTTCATGGGTTGACTAGGAGGCACCAAGGCTGACTGCCAAACAAGATGTAAGGGAAGCACAACCACAGCGGTCCTCCTCCCTCGGAGTGGTCCCTTCCCAGGGTATCTGTTCTTGTCTCATTTCCCCATGTCGTGGTGCCTCGGGACCAATAGTTTAAGATATTTGGTTCTAGATTTACTGAAATGTTTCAAATTCTCTCTCTCCCCCTCCCTCCTCTCTGTCGTCTCTGTCTCTCTTCCTCCTCCCCCCATGTCTCTGTCTCTCTCTGTCTCTGTCTCTGTCTCTCTCATACACACACACACACACACACACACACACACACACACACACACACACACACAATTTCCCTCCAAATACTTAGTACAGTGTCATATTTAAATGGTGCTCTCTGGAGATTGCTTTTTCAGTGAAACTATTCCATGTACACAAGGAAAATCAGCCAGTTTTTGCCAACAGGGTTTTACAGAGCAGAAAAGGAACTCACAAATTAATTCATGGCTGATGATCTATGATAACTTTCCCCCAAAAGACTAAAATCCAAATTTTCTTTTTCTTTCTTTCTTTCTTTCTCTCTTTTTAACTTAAAGAGATCAGATTCTGAGTCTTCAGAACTAAGCCATTAGAAAAAGAACACCATTGTGAGAGTGCATCTGTAAACAAAAGCACATTTCTGGTTTTTAAAACTAAACTACGACGAGACACCCTCAAAAGGTGAAGAAGAACGTCCTTGCCCTTAGCCTCAGCAATGCCTCCTCTCTCTTTTTACCTGGCTGAATATCCAGCATCATGTCCACCCACTGTTGAGCCCCCAGCCTTTTGACAACATTGTCCTTCATGATCCAGGAATCCGGGTCCTCGGCAAACACGGCACAGCAGAAGGGCTCTACTCGAACCACACAGACATAGCCATACAGGGCTTCCTTTTGGTAAACCTTCAAAATTTTGGTCTTGAAATTCACCCTGGGCTTTTCGAGACAGAAGTGGTATGTGGGCAACTTTTCTATGCAGCTTTTTATTTCTGTTTTCAGTGATTCAGGGTTCATTTTTTCTTTCTTACATCCAAACACTTCTTTGCTCTTATCATCAACCCCAATAATTATGTATCCCCCTTGAGTGTTGGCAAATGCAGAAACATAATGAGCCAGTGTCTCTTTAATCCGAGGGACAATCTTTTTGGTGGTGAACCTTTTAAACTCGACGTGTGTTGACTCTGTGAAGTTAAGCTTCTCCTTATAAATGAGTTTATCTTTCTTAAAAAATTCTGAGGCACACACCTTAATATCTTCTTCTTCCTGAATAGATCTGTTGAGGGTGCATTCCTGAGAATGCACTCTGGGGGCACCTCTTTGGGCTCTAGACTCTTTCTCTTTGAGAAGCTCCAGGGCACTGCTGGCACTCAGGTTGATGGCAAATGTCACATCTCTCTGATATAAGTTGGAGCGTAAGCTGCAAATCTTCAGTGCAAGGCTGGAGGCATCCGGGCTCCATGACTTTACAAAAATCAGCAGGTTGTGGTTCTGTTGCATACAGTCAAGGTACTTCTGTGAACCTGATGGAAGGAGCTTTTGAAACGAAGTTTCCAAATCCTGCCCCAGGCCGTGGCATCGGTAACTATAGTTTTTGTCATCGATCTCTGCTTTGATCACACCTCCTCCAGAATTCAGCAGTGCACAGACAGCCTGGATGATACTGGAGTTCTCGTGTCTTTTCAAGCAACTATTGGTCATCTTCTTCCTGTTCTCTTCTCCTAAAGTCACTTTGCCCAAATTTACGGTGATCTCAGCATAGGGCATTTTCTACACTCCCAGCAATAGCAGAAAGGTGTTCCTACGTATAACCAGGACAGAAACATTTCTGTATTAGTGAGATGTTCAGAGATGATAATATTTTCTTCAAGGCTATACGTTATTGGAGATACATTTTAACATTGGACATAATCTTGAAAAAGACATTCTAGTGGGACTGGGAACTGAGCCCCCACCTTCTCCCATGCCCAGCAAGTGCTCTTCCACTGAGTTGCATCCCCAGCCTTCCCTTCACTCACCGTTTTCCCATGGGTCCTGCTGTCTCAGGCTCATGAGTAGCTGGGATTACAGGCCTGTTCCACTGGTCCCAGCTTTGGAAATAATCCTTGATAGCATTGGTTTTGAACCTATTTTACCAAATAGACTTCTCAACAAGAGTAGCCATAGGTTAAAAAGTAAACACTTAGTAGTTTTCCATAACGGAAAAAAAAAAATAAGTTGCTGAAGATTTCAGCTCAGTTCTGCTTAAATTTGGGATGCACCAATACTGAGTCCAGATATAAGGAGGATGGGTTAGTGCAGGAGCTCAGTGAGTTGTTAAAGCATGTGCAGAAATAGAAGCTGAAGTCAGGGGCTCTAGCCATTCAAAGGGGAAGAAAAGCAGCAATGGAAAACAAAGGAAACGGAGTTTGGGGTTGGGTGTGGTAGGTCTTGCTATGGAAATAAACATCAATCTGGGCATGGTAGCACATGCCTAGAGTCCTAGCACTCAGGTGACTGAGGCAGGAGGATCAAGAATTTGAGGCCAGATATATGGGCACACAACTGTAATCCCAACACAGCTGTAATCCCATCAGGAGATGGAGGCAAGAGGGTCAGCCTCCAAAGTCATTCCTGGCTATAGTAAGTTCAATACCAGCCTTGACTACCTGAGACTCTGTCTCAGACAAGCAAATAAAACAAAATGGGGCTGGAGAGATGGCTCAGAGGTTAAGGGCAATGGCTGCTCTTCCAGAGGTCGGGAGTTCAATTCCCAGCAACCAAAGGGTGGCTCACAACCATCTATAATGAGATCTGGTGCCCTCTTCTGGCCTGCAGGCATACATGCAGGCGGAACACTGGATACATAATAAATAAATAAATCTTCAAAACAAAACAAACAAAAACCAAAAAAACAAAAAAATATACAACACATAGAATGTGGTATTTCATATGATATTTTATACATTTTAAAGACCTTAATCTACTCTTGAAAGAATGCCAATCGAAACCAAATGCTGAAATTGCTTTAGCTCTTCACCCATGTCCTAAACGCACAGTGTGAATTTGTCGCAGACAATGTGATGTGAGGCAGGAATTTGCCTTTTGCTTCTAGTTTTTCCTTGTACCATGGAGCCTCTAAGATTTAGAAAAGAGCCTAAGTCTTTGAGGCCCGGTTGCAAAATTGTGACCAACAACCTTTTGTTTTAAGACTAGAGAGCAGCCATCTAAATTGAAATTAGCTCTGAAGAAAATATTTCAGAAAGGCCTCCCTGAACCGTTGATTAACTGTAAAGCAGAACACTTACTTATTAATGAAGCAAGTGGTCTTTCTCTGGGCAAGAGTGCCTATATGCTCCCTGCACACAGAAGTCCTGCAGAGGCTGTTTACAGTCCATTTTCTGGAGCTCTGTTAAAAATGGCTTCCTTATTTTCAGTTTGCCTTCCTGGTAACTTTCATTGGTGGGATCTGCACGACAAACCTAAGTGGCTTTGGACGATCACAGTGTATGTATGGTCTCACAGCTCCCAAGTCTCATTGATGTCATTTGGATGCTCATAACCACATAGATGACAGAGTGTTCTGAGATTCTGGATCTGCACATCCTTCCCACAAGTTTGAGAATTTCTCACTCATCTTCCTTAACTAATTTCCTCTTGACTGTGACCTACACCCAGCCCTTCCCGCTCTCAGACCTGAACTATGCCCAGTGTAACAATGAGATTTAGAAAAGCGATTCCTTACCTGGTGTTCTTGTTTCCTCCTGCTGCTTGAGTTCCTCATCTGGCTCTGGGTGGAATGTTTGGCTGCTGTTGAGGGCCCTGCTGCCCTGTGATATCTGCCTGGGAGGAACAGGAACTCTGCCAGACTCCCTCAGCCTTCATAACATTGCCCCCCTGAGGAAGGCTGATAAGGACTCACGAAAAGTCTATGTCATGGCAGATTAGCAAGCTAAGGTCTGACCTCAGGGAGTGAATCAGGTCCTCAGAGTGGGGGAAACATGGGGGTTTTCAAGTGAGCAGCCTGAGTTCAGTGTACATCTAAAAGGAATGAGCATCGCTTCCACACATAACATAAGCACCTCTTTCCTGGTTAAATTTGTTTGCAAAACTCTGCGCTCATTTTAATTTTTTGAAACAGGGTCTCACTATGCAGCCCTGGCTGGCTTAGAACTCTCTATATAGACCAGGCTGGCTTCAGACTCACAGAGATCCCCTTGCCTCTGTTTCATGAGGGCTGAAATTAAAGGTGTGTGTCACCATGTGTGGCTGCATTCATTTTAAATTTGGCTATCCTGTACATATTCATTGTGAGCAATGTTAGCTTATTTCATTATCTTCTAAAATTTCATGTTGTGTTTTGCTTACTTTTATCATTTTTCCTATTTTTTAAAAAATTATTTATTTTTAAAGTTTTCATACAAGTATATTATGTATTTCATACAAGTATACTATATGTTGAATGCATTCCCCCTATATGCCCTCGGCTCCCTTTTCTTATCCCTCTACCCTCCTGATAGTCTCCCTTCCTTGCACTAGAAAGCTTTATTTCTGCTTTCATGTCATACATACATACCTGATGTTACATATTTATATAGAACCTAGGAACCAGGAATGAAAAAAAACACAATGTTTTCCTGAGACTGTGTTAACTTGCTTAATGCTATTATTATCTTCCAATCATATCCATTTTCCTGCAAATGATGAAATGTTGTTCTTTATGGACCAAAACAATTCCACTGTTATCTATACACCACATTTAAAATTTTTTTTTTTTTTTTTTTTTGGTTTTTCGAGACAGGGTTTCTCTGTGTAGCTTTGCGCCTTTCCTGGAACATCACTTGGTAGCCCAGGCTGGCCTCGAACTCACAGAGATCCGCCTGGCTCTGCCTCCCAAGTGCTGGGATTAAAGGCGTGCGCCACCACCGCCCGGCTTAAAATTTTTATTTTGAAATTAAGATACAATTACATCATTGTCCCCCTTCCCTTCCACCCTCTAACCTTTCCCATGTTACCTGTCCCTTGCTCTCGCTCTCTCTCTCTCTCTCTCTCAAATTCCTGGTCTTTCTTTGTTGTTTTACACACACACCCTCCTAAATATATAAATACAACCTGTTCAGTCCGTATATCATGTTACTTATATGTATTTGAGTTCACCTCTGGCCACTTGGTATTGGATAACTGATTTGTGAGCTCTTCCCTGGGACAGACTGTTTCTCCCACTCTCAGTATTCCTTAGTTGTCAGTAGTTCCTCGTCTGTGGTTGAGGCCCCATGAGACTTCCCCCTTCCATATTAGCCTGTCTATCCAGGTTGTCCTTGTTCAGTCAGCATGTTGGTGAGACGTCACAGGTGAAGCGTCTCTTACACTCCTAGGAGAGACAATCTCACATCGAACTTCCTGTTCCGCCGACCCTTCCAATCTTTCCGGGCCCCTCTCTTCCACCATGGCCCTTGAGCCTCAGGTGCAGGAGCTGTGTTGTAGGTGTATCAGTTGTGGCTGGGCACCACACGGTTGCTTGTTCTCTGCAGTTTGATTGACTGTGGTTTTCTGTGATGACCTCCATCGGCTGCAAGGAGACAGTTCTTGGATGAGTGAGACCTATACGTATCTGTGGGTGTAAGGATAAAGATTGAGACCGTAGTTAGCGATTGTGCTGGTTTAGTGAAGCGGAAGTTGTAGGTTCTCCTCCCTGATCAATGACTTCACCAGTCCCAGGTATTTGGCTAGATTTCCAGTACCAGGCATGGTTTCTCCTTTGATTACAGCGTGGTAAAACTGATATTGAACCTCTTGCTATAAAAGAAAAAAAAAAAAAGAGGGGCTAGAGAGATGGCTCAGAAGTTAAAAGCACTAGCTGCTCTTCCAGAGGAACCTCTACCAGGTTCAGTTCCCAGCACCCACATGGTAGCTCACAGTTCACAGCTCCCCAGTTCCAGGAGATCCCATAACCTCACACAGACACACATGCAGGTAAAACACCAATGCACGTAAAATAAAAAATAAATCATTAAATTAAAAAAAAAATTGGGACCAGAGATATGTTTTAGTAGTTAGGAGTACTTGATTTTTCAGATGACTGTAGTGAGCTTTTCCTCTGTCCTGCCAGCTGGCTTCCAAATAATGACGTGGAGATTTATATTAATTATCAAAGCTTGGCCTTAGCTTAGGCTTGTCCCAATAGCTCTTATAACTTAAATTAACCCATTTCTATTAATCTACGTTTTGCCTCATGGCTTTTTACCTTTTGTTCATTTTGTATGTCCAACTCCCTTCAGGTCTCCTTGGTGTCTGTCTCCCTGGGCCTCAATTATCTCCTCCTCTTTCTTTCTCTCTGGAAATCCCGCCTACACCTCCTGCCTAGCTATTGGCCATTCAGCTTGTTATTACACCAATCACAGCAAATACATCTTCACACACTGTACAAGTATCCCACAATACATGTCTTTGGTTCAGTTCCCAGAACCCACATGGTGGTTCACCAGCATCCATAACACTAGTTCCAGGGAATTCAATACCTTCTTTTGACCTCCTCAGACACCACACATGAACACAGTGCACAGACATACATGCAACCAAAACATCCATACACATAAAATAGAAATAAATCTTTTAAATAAAAACACCCCATACATCTCTCCTGGATACAGTTTTTTCAAGTCAGGGAGGACCTCACGTCTCACCAGGTTTGTGGTAATTTGTTATGACAGTCACAGGAAAATGAACCTTATCCTTACATTAAGTCAGTAAAGCAGGGGTGGTGGTGCATGCCTGTAATACCAACACTTGGGAGGTGGAGTTAGGAGGACCAAAGGTTCAAGACCAACTACAGCTGTGTAGTGATTTGAATGAGAATGACCCCTATAGAATCATATATTTGAGGTGGAACTGTTTGGGAAGGATTAGGCAGTATGGCCTAATCACTGGGGTAGCCTTTGAGGTTTCAAAAGACTCAGGCCATTCCCCCTTAGCTGTCTCTGCCTCATGTTTGTGGACAGGGATATAAGCTCTCAGCTACTGTTCCAGTACCACGCCGGCCTGCCTGCTCCCATGATGGTCATAGACTCATCTTCTGAAAATGTAAGCCCCCGATAAATTATTTCTTCTACAAGTTGCCTTGATCATGGTGTTCTATCACACCAATAGCAAAGCAACTAAGACAGGATACATGGCACCATCTCAAAAAATAAAAATAAAAATTGAACTCAATGAACAATACTGTGTTTCTGCTTGAATTTGTTATGACGAAATGACATTCTTAAGTAGGTATCTGGACACCCTTACAGTTTACCATTGTTTTTCTTAGCTTGAGGCTACTACTCTGAAAACTTCTGGTTACTCGTTACACTTTGCCTACTTTGGCTGAATGGAATTTCCAGGAGAGGAAGCAGAAAGGACACCATGACACATAATCATCCCAGCAACATAGTAAGGTCTACTCTCAGCTCAAACTTGAACTTCGTTTACTTATTTCTCTTCTGAATCCAGTCTCACCTTGGTCCTACTGTCTATCAATCTCAATTCCCAGCTTCACTTTCATACTGAAAAACTGTTCTTACTTATTGCTAGAGGGATAAAAATAACCACTTTTTGCTGAAAAAGTGTTTACTAAATGCTGGGGGCGGGGGGCTGCCCTGGAAACAATATATCAATTGGAAGCTGAGATTATATAACAAGAAATCTGGGACGTAAAACCAGGTTTGTCTAATTCAAATGATTCAACAAGGATTCTAGGTCATTTGAGAAACTGAAACATCAGAAGTCTCCCTCAGTGCCTTTTTTTTTCCTTCCCACTCACCAGGAAGAACACCATTTGGGCAGAAGTCTGGGGACTGGATTGCCGTTCCCTTCTTACTCTTCTGCAATGCACTATTGGCAGCAGGTGTGTGTGTGTGTGTGTGTGTGTGTGTGTGTGTGTGTGTGTGTGTGTGTGTGTGTGGTGTTTCAAACCATTATAATAGACTAATAATAGAAGTCTCCTGGATATAGTTTGTCAGGCCAGGGAGGACCTCACATGTCAACTTTGATATCTGCAAATCAAATGTTCTTGATACAAAACAACTTGCAAACAGTAGCTTGAAAAGCATGTTCTCCTAGATGTTGAGAAAGTTATCTGGTTGTGCTAGTAATGACGATGTAAGAACTAGACTCCCATTTTATTCAAGATGTATTCCTTCTGCATTTCTGCTTATCAACAGTGTTAGTTATGGCACAGCCCACATACTCAGCAGATATAAAGTGTCAGAGGACTGGTGAAGAGAAGGGCTGGGAATTACCTATCTCTGGGTGAGTTTTTTTACATTCATTCTTTCAGTCAGTAAGGTACTTTGGAGGGTACCTAAGGTGTTCAAATCCTAGTGCTGCCATATTCTAGCTAGTAGACTTTGGTAAAGCATACCTAAGCCTCAAAACCTTTCTGTGTAAATCAGAGATAATATTGCCTTCTCCAGTATATGAAAAAGAATGAGATGATACACATAAAGATTTATCCATGGCACTGGACATATAATGTCAACTTTAGTAATCAGCTAATGAGCAATTAATTACTATGGTCCAAACAAAACAACCTCTTCACACTAAAATAAAAACTGCCATTTAGTGACTGCCTCATTCAGGCCAAATGTGCATCTTTTATTCTCTAGAGTCATCCTAAAAACTTAAAGGACATGGATTATTTTTATTGTCCTATAAAGGACAAAACAGTTCAACAAGATTAAGCTGAAGGTTACCCATCCAACAAAGAGCAGATCTGGGATTTGAACACTGGCCTATCTGAATCCAAAGACCATCTACTCTCATTCTGCCACACCACCTTACTGATAGCTGAAAGAATAAGACATTATCCCATTTATAAACTACAGACAGAAACCATGTGTATTAACTCATGATACCATTAATATCAATGAGCACTCAATTTATCTTATAACCATTCTGTGGGCTACACACTATCATTAACTTTTTTTTTCTTTGCAGAAGAGAAACTGAAGGACTGAAAGCTTAAATTTCTTAGTATAATCTATGATCTAAAGGTGTGTGCATGACAGATGCACTCTAGAGCCACTCCGGAGAGCTGGCTGTGTATGCACAGTCCTGACAAGTGACAATAGCGGTGCTTATAAGACTCCTAAATGACATGACGTGTGAGCTAGAACCAAATCGAGAAGGGAGACAGACGGGGGAAGGCAAACCAGGCAGAGAAAACAGCCCATGCAAAGGCACTCTCTCTTTGCTGTCGTTTGTCCTTGAACTACAGGGTTTTAGGACAGTCATAGACCAGACTTGAATGATCTGGTATAGATGACACTTTGTGTCCCTTCTACTCTCTGTGGTGATATTTTATTTGTGCTTTAATAAAGTTTGCCTGGAGATCAGAAGAAATAGCAAGCCATTTTAAGTAAACATAGAAGTCAGGCAGTGGTAACACACGCCCTCAATCCGATCACTTAGCAGACAGGCTCTCTGTGTGTTCAAGGCCACACTAGGGAACAGAGCCAAGCGTGAGACACATGCTTTTTTTTTTTTTTTTTTTTAAGGTTTATTTATTATGTATACAGTGTTCTGTCTGTATGTCTGCCTGAAGGCCAGAAGAGGGCACCTGATCTCATTATGTATGGCTGGTGACACATGCCTTTAACCCCAGTACCAACCATAGAGTCTTGGAGGTCTATACAGACAGGCAGTGACAAGGAAGTGAGGTAACTGGGCTAAGAGCCACTGAGAGGGCAGAACAGCAAGGCAATAAAGGCACATTTGGAAGCTGCAGAGCTGGTGAGGTAAGGCTGGCTGGTGGCTATTCCTATTTCCCTGATCTCTAAGGCTTTCACCCCTATATGTGGCTCCGTGTGTTCTATTTAATAAGACCATTTGGAAATTCATCTACAGTTCTCCCCTTTATTTCTTCAAGTCTTTTGCCCACCCCTATCTATCGCTATCACAATCCATATATGCCATTGCTTTGATATCTCTCCATTTCCACTGCCATTATCACTTATGCTCTTCTTAGCTCTCAACTTGAGATCGCTTCCAAGGTGTTTGCACTGTCCCGCTCTAATTTAAACACAATTGTACACTGTTTCCTTAACTATTACCCTGATCGTTTAATTACCTGGCTTCTGAAATATTCAGTCTCCCACTACTCTGAGTATTCTGAAGTCTACATCCAACCAGTTAGTGCTATTAGCAAAATCTCAGCCTGTCTTCCCAATCTCCTGCCACATTGGTAATACTAACAGGAGTCATTAAATTTTGCAGTGAATCAGAATGGCTCCTGGAATGCTTATTGAACATATTATCCTGGACTCAACCTTGAAGTATCCTTTCGGGGATGTTTTGGGCCCCAAGCATTTTGGAGTTTTTACTGTTTGCTTTTTATGCTGGATGCGACTGTATTAAAAGGTCTCCCTTTGTGTTTCTACAGCTCACAGAATTTTGAGAAACACCTCAACAGCTGTGATTTCTGCTTTGACAAAATTTGGTAAACTAGAATTCGCAACTATTTTATAATGAGTTTGAACAATTACTTCTCTCAGAATCTCTGTTTTGTTTGTTTATTTCTTGAGACAGGCTCTATATAGCCCTGGCTGTGCTGCAGCTCCGTTATACAGACCAGGATGGCCTCAAACCCAGAGATCCTCCTGCCTTGGTTTCAGGAGTGATGGGATTAAAGGCGTGCGCCACCATGCCCAGCAGAATCTCCTAATTCTTAAGGCTCTTCAAGACCTAGATGAAATGCCTCCTCTCCCAAGAAATCGTCCGTGTTGGTCTTGCCAATTTGATATTTAGGTGCGCTTTCTCAGGGCACCTTTATTTAAAATGTCCAAGACCAGGGTTTGATTACCTGGCACTGACGTGGCAGCTCACAACCATGTTCTGCATTGATATGGTGTACAGACACACACGCAGGCAAAACACACGTGCATAATCATACATACATCTTTTTAAAAATCTGTCTTTAAAAATGTTCAAGATAAGGTGGTCTCTCGCCTCTCCCCTTCCCACTCTTTATCAAAGTATGCGGAAAATCACTGTCTCCAGGAATCCCATGAATAGAGCATTCATTATAGGGAGAAGAAAAACAGCATCGCTCGCTGTACAGAACGCCACAGGCCTAACTTGTAGAACACAGACCCGAGCACTTAGATGTCCGGGAGAAGTAGGCTCCGCCATTACACCAGCTCCACCCCCTGCCTTTCATCTCGCCCTCCGATTGGCTGCTCTGCATGTCAGCCCCGCCTTACAGCTGCTCACGTGAAGCTCTGGCTGCCGCGGGATTGGCTGTCTGGCGCGCGCGGAGCTGTGGGATGCAGGCCGGCCGAAGCGGAGTGGAGAGGGCGCGGGAATCCTGTGCGGTCCGGACGCAGCGTCCGAGAGCTGGGTTCCGTCATCCCCTGCAGCCTGGAGGTGTTTCCTGACAGTACCGGTCCTAGCTGCAGAGGAGTCCAGGCTGGGTGCCGATTCAAGCCCCGGCTCAGTCCTCTTTCCCCACTAAGGATGGCTTCTGTCTCCCGAAATTGGTGGAGTTTGGACTTTATCTCTCTTTGCTTTGAGGATCTACGGTGTGTAAGCTCTCGCTGGCCTGCAAAGGAATCTATACAGAGCCCCATGTGTTAGAGGATGGGCGAATGAGAGCTTGGAGATGCCTGAGGTATGGTCCTTACCCGCGTGACAGCTTGGAGGTAAGCTGGCATTATACATTGTGCTGATGCTTTTCTAATCGAGGACCATGGAGCCTAGCGGGGAAGAGTTGCTTACTGGGGTCATTTATTGAACCCCTATGTTCCAGGCTCGTAACAGTCAGCCTCGGTTCTAGGAACTCAGTAAGATGGGGCTAGTGGGAGAGATGGAGGAGGGGCGGGGGAGGGGGGACTGGTGAACTGGTGCATAGTTGGCATGTGATGGTTGCTGTGATGGAAGAGAAAGCTGTGGAGGTCAGAGGAAACTAACTAAGGAGCTCAGGGCATTTAACAGAAAAGGTGACATTTGAGTAGCTCCGAAAGTATACCCAGCCTTTCTCCCATTGAGACGGGGGAAGAAGCTTCAGGTGGAATGTAGAGAGGCAGAGAACTAGGAAGACGTACCTTGCTGGGCCTGGCGGGAGCTTGGGTTCAGTTTGACTGCATCTTTAAGTGGAGTTGGTTCCACAAACTTTGCTTCCCTAATTCAGAGGAAGGGCAGAGCCCCCTTTGGGATTAATTGGGATAAAGCCTCATGTAAAAAGAGGCAGAGCAGAGGGTCACAGCGGGAGAGGCAGAACTGAACAGGAGGAAGGGTTTCTATCGAGGAAGGCACGAGTCAAATAGAGTAGATCTGAGAACTTACAAATAGTCTGGGTTGGGTAGTCTGTAAGAGTTGTTAGGGTTATGCTATTAATAGATAAGGAGAAATGTGGGTTTTTTTTTTTTTTATTGTCTTTAAGACGTGGTCTGTATTGCCAACGTCGGACTCAAACTCAGGATTTTTCTGCCTCAGCCTCCCAAAGCAGTAGGATTACAGGTGTATCCACTACTACACCTGGCTTGATTTTTGTTCTTGTTTTGGGGGTAGTTTTTGTTGTGGTGGTTCTGGAGCTGACCAAGGGCTTCACTTGTGACATTTCGACATCCCTTGGATGCCAAGCAAAGTAATTTTGGATTTTATTCCCCGGGCCATGGGAAGTAATTGGATGCTTGTAGTGGCCGAATCACACTTTTATAGGTTTTTGGTTAGTGTGTATATGTGTTGGTGCCCAGGGAAACCAGAGGCAAGAGGCCCGCTGAATCACAATGTTGTCAGGCAGATGGATGTAAAGTCAGTTACTGGTCCTATGTAAGAGCTGCTGGTGCTCTTAACTGCTGAGACATCTCCCTAGTGCCAGTAGTTTCTCCTATATTAGTAAAGGGCAGGAGTTGAGAAGAGGTGGGAAGATATAAAAACCTGGCATTCAGACCTCACATCTCTTCCTCATTCTGCTACTAATTGCTATAGACTGTTAGTAGAGCCCAGCCTCTCAGTTTTTGGACTAAAATGAGAAGATTCTGATAGAAAAAAATTTGTGTTGTATAGTTTTGTTTGTTCACTATAAGTTTTCCTGTGTTTTTCAGGCCTCTAACTCCTTGGCTCGAATGACCCTCCTGTCTTACCCTCTAGAGTAGCTGGAACTACAGCAAACATTTGGACTGTATTTTTAAATTTTTGTTGGCAGTTGAATTGTATGTTAAATGATTTATAATTTTGTAGGGAATCTTCCCTATAGCTACTACTTTAAATTAGGCTATATGTTTCTTCACAGACATCCCTAAGATTTTTTGTCCAAATAAATGGAGGTTGGACTCATTTAAATAACAACAAAAACTTTGTTGTTGTTGATTTGAGACAGGTTCTTGCTATGTAGCTCCGAGGGCTGTCCTGGAACTCACTATGTAGACCTCAAACTCAGAGTTTCGATAGTTCTTTGCCTCCTAGGTGCTCAGATTAAAGGCAAGCACCACCATGCCTGGGCTCTAAAAAAAATTTTTGAGTGATAAATGTTTCACTACTCTGTGTTGTGAAAACAAAACAGTCCCCTGCCCACAAACAAAACTTGTATAAGTTTTATTTTTGTATAGCAATTACTTACCGCATAGTGGAAAGTATTTATAGAAAATTCAAAATGAAACATCTAAAAAAAAAAGCAGCTGTTTTTGGTATGTAAGCCTAGATTTCTTGTGGATCTGAAAATAGGTGCTCCTTAGGTAATCCAGGGAGGGGAAATGAAATGATGCAATGATGAGCGAAGTATAGTCTGACCTGGTATTGCCATTGCTTCGGCTCTGGCTTTGACCAGGGCATGATCCAGTAATCTTCTCTCTGAGCTGATTGTGCTTGTCTTACCACACAGGTGTGTTTGAACCTGTGTGGATACTGGCTTATTGTGTCCACGTATTCTTTTCTGTCCTTGGAATTACTGATACTTTCATGTTTTCCTTCTTAGGTCCAGGTGAGAAGTCAGGATTGAAGACTTCATGGAGGAGTCACCATTTTGCCCTGAATCAAAAATCAATTCCTTACTGACTTATTACTGTATTAAAAGTGTTGTAATTAACTGTGGTATTTGTTTGGGTAAGGCCTTTGTTTTGATGAGGTTTTACAAGAGCTTGTAAAAGACGACAATCTTGTCTTCTGGTATACGTGAGCTTTAATATTTTTAAATCCACAGGATGGATTGTCCGTTTTAAAACCTAGTAAAATTATATTGTTTATGGTGCCAGAGAATATGCTCTCACTTGCCAGCATGAGTCACACATTGTGCCAGGCATTCACACAAATTATTCTCATTCATCCTACATTAATGATTTTTCAGAAGCCATTTCTCAGTCAGCTTGTTCATCCACTGTCATAAATTTTCCTAAATCAGTGACTGAACTGCTGGGTCTCTGGTAAATGCTATTTCCATACAAACGGTATTCTTGTTGTTAGAACAGGGTTTGTTCTCATTATTAGATTTGTCTTTTTAATAAGCAAAACTTTAATCAATACAGGAATGCTTCAAGAAGTCAAAGGGGATCTGAATGAAAATTTATTTTAAACCCTTGAAATAATCTTTTGAGTTTTCACACAATCATGACGGCATGGAACAATTCTTTCCCAGAATCATGTATTGTTAAAATTTACTTAAATGTTTCATAGAAACTTTCAGAATATATAGGATGATTCATGTCAATTGAGCAAACTGTCAATTGAGAAGACTCATAAGAGCAGGCAGAAAGCTTTTGCTCCTCATTAAGTATTCATTAGATAAGCATTCGGTAAACATTCGGTAAGTATTTTACTGCATCTCACCATTCCTTGCCAGCTTTCACTCACATGAAATTTCCAGACTCCTCCCTATAAACAAACTCTGTTTTTCTTTAACCTGTTTCCCAAGAGAGACAGGTATGGCTCATGAAGGACTCTTCAAATGCTGATAATTATTAGCATTTCTTAATTTGATAATTAGCAGATGTTAGTAAATCACAGTATATGGAAGGGGTTGTTTTTCTAAAATGTCCCTAAGTATTTCTATAAAGAGGAAGTCCATGTTTCATATTGTATGCAGTCTGATAAAACCTCTACTGCCCAGGTAAAGAAATACTTTGTAAAGAGAAGGCCTGTTTCCAAACCACCTCTTGGATAAGGTCTAACCTGGCTTTTCCTCTGAGCTTGTATCCCTCTTAATCATAGTCTCTCGCTTTCGTTTTACCTTTTTGACAGTCTCCCTCTGATGGCCTAAGCTGGCCTTGAACTCAGAATCATGCCTCCAACTGAGTGCAGATATCAAACTCCCACATTCAGCTCAAGGTCTTACTCTTGAGGAGAACAAGCAACACTTGTAGTGATCTTTAATCCACCTCCACGTTGGCCCTCACACCACCTGCAATCCTGATTCTCCTACGTAACCAGCTTGGTAGACAGCAAACCAAAAAGTTAGGATCAAGTGGATACATCCTTTTAAAGGAATCCATATAGTTACTGAAAATCAATGTAGTTATGAATTAGGGAAGTATCAATGTTGTTTGCTATACTGAAAACAGTCTTGTGGCCTTACAGGAGAGAACTTGAGCTGAGATAATATGCTAATCTCTTTCAGTTCTCTGGAGAGTAGAGTTTAATTAGATGCTGGACTTCTGTTGGATAGCCTGTGATGGGACAGGTTTGGTGACTCCTCACATAATTAAACACACAGCGGTAACAGAACACATAGCCAGAGGTGGCAAGAACTGTATCATTCACCCTAGTTTTACGACACAGCGGGCACACTGTCTTCATTTTGGGTAGCAGGGGAGAATCAGAGTTGTAGTCTAGGTGTACAGGTGGTGGTGGGGTAGGCAGAGAAGTCAGTGATTTGATGGTTTCTTGGTTCTCCGAAGAGTACCACCAGTCAAGGAACTGCAGGAAGAATATACCCACGGAAAGGCCAGTGGAGAGGGATAAGGCGACACCTCCCACAGCTTTCTTCAGAGCTGACTTTATCTTCTCACCAACGCCGCTGGGAAAGAGAACAAGAGGCAAAGAAAACAGTTGATTTGGGTGTGGTCACACAGTGACTAAGTGCAGTTTCACACTTGGTGGGAGTCACTGATTTGGAGATGGAGTGCTCTTGGACTGGAGGGTCTGTTGTAAGCAGTTCGCCCATTTAAGTCAACATGCTAGGTGTGTACACCTAAACTCTGGTGTTTCCAGTTTTTAAAATATTTTATGTTTGTGTCTGCTTGTCTGTATGTGCATGCAGGTACCAGTTGGGTCAGAAGATCTGGAGTTACAAGCAGTTGTGAACTGCCAAATGTGGGTGCTGGGAATCAATCTCTGGTCCTCTGGAAGAGCAAGCAGTACATGCCACTCACATAACCCCTGTGCCATCTCTCCAGTCCCATCCCGTCCTCCCCACCTCCCAACCTGTTTTTAACAACAAAAGATTAGGCTTTGATCTGAGAAAAGCATTAAAGATACGATTTTATAGAATTTTAAAATGGAAGATAATCCACCCAGAAGAAGAAATAGACTTAAAAAGTAACTTAGCAGTGTTGAGATGCATACATCTTTGAACTTGTGGGAGAATAAGCATTAGCTAGAGGTGGTGTAGCATCATGGATGAGAACATTCTTCAGAACTCTATTGCTCTGCATTGAATCTTGGCTCTGTGTTGTCTAGCTGTTGGTTTCCCCCAACTGTTAAATGAAGTCACTGCATTTAATCATCAGGTTGTGATGAGGCATAAGATAATATACACAAAGCAAATCCCTCCCATGAGGCCTTGCCTACAGCAGGCGTGCAGCAAGATGTACCTATTATGATAGGAAAGATCACCAGAATGGCAGTCCTTGTTTATGGATGTGAGGGATGACTTTGCTGTGACTTAATAAAAGACTGGGGTAAACCAGATGATTGATGTACAACTTTAAATTTTGTTACTGAAGGGGTTTTAGAAAATGTTACGGTCTTACCTTCTGACGGGGTCCTTCATGGCACTGGCTTCAGACAGTCTATGCTCTATAGCTTGTATGTCCTGCGCTGTCAGTCGACCCAGCCGGACTCCAGCCAGTTTCAGCAGGGGAGAGTGGTGCTCAGCTTTTCCTAGAATGTAGCGAAGTTGCTGTGTAAGAAACCAGCCTTCCCAGGCCATATTAACAAACGGGTAGGCCGCCAGGAAGGCTCTGTAGAATCGTTTCCAGTGCGAAGAAGGAGGGTGAATAGAGTATTCGTCCTCTTCTCTCAAGCTAGAAGCCAGCTTCTCCAGCTTCACTTTCAGATAGGGAAGAAGAACGAGGAACATGGTGGATTTCCAAAGGTGCTCCTTGGGAAGACCAGCACTGGCTGGTCTCTGAAGCTGCTGCGAGCTCCCTGCTACAATCCGCTTTAAGCCATAAAAGTGTTCAGAGAATGAGGCACTGGTTCTAGAAAGATAATGCTGCTGGAGCAGAAAGTCTAGCAGAGTGAAGATTTCATCAAACCACCTCCAAAAGAAGCCGAAGTGTGCAGGATTTGATTCTGCAAGAACCTGGAGCAAAAACATTCATTTTAGTACAGTCTTCAGTTTGTATTCACATTAACCTTTTCCTTCTAAAGCCAACACACTTAGCTTAAATAACTCTCGTTTGGGGTATAGCCTAAGCTCCCCGAGGTCTTAGGAATTGAGTCCAGGGCTCTTTGGGTGTAAATTAAGCCGTGGATATGGATGACACATGTTGATCAATGCAAACTCTTGGTTACTTGTAAAATAATTTGAGTTTCCTCCAGTCGTCCCTGAAACCTTCCAGAGAAATAATACCTTACCTTGACCACATGCTGAAGAGCGGGTCTCACTGCTGTCATTAAACTGTCCTGTGCTACCACCTCAAAGATGGATGGATGGTCGTCGGCCACCGCAGCAGTTGTGATATGAGCCCCGTGCTCAGCCATGGTATCCTGTGTGTCCTGGGATTCACTTTTCTCACAAATACTCTACTGAGCATGAACTTGTTTTATATCAAAGAGGTGCTGGGTCTTAATCTTTCTGCATGGCACCCCAAACTGAATATTTAATTTTACATGAGCAAAATCAACTGAGGTTTAAAATTAAAAAAAAAAAAAAAAAAAGACTCATGAGGCAGAGGAAGGGAATCTAAAAGTTAAGGACTGTTAACTCCGAAGCAGGGGACGTGACATGTGGGGGCTGGGGAATGACTTGTCAAATGCTGCACCTCACAGGGCGGAGCGTGACTCGGAGACAGGTGTGGGCCAAGGAACGTGTCGCTTGAGCTGCAGTCCGGAGCTGCGAGGCCCGGCTCCGGCCGCAGGCTGGGAAGCGCCCGTCCTTGCTTGCTGACCTCGGGCGCGGCGCAGAGGACCCGTGACGCCACCTGAGAAGGGAGGAGGTCTAGGCTTTGTGACAGAAGCCGCACCCGGAAACAGAAGCTCCGAGGACCTCCACACAGCGGGCGGAAGACGGGCACTCTAGCATCGAACGTGGCCCTGAGCCGGAACTGGGGAACTCTATGACCAACCGGGACTTCCGCTTCCGTCCTCCTGACTTTGACCAGACGACTGGCTAATGTGGTGGGTGGATTTGTTCCTGGTTCTCTCTCCGCGGAGCTTCAGTGCAGGGCCAGACTCGAGCCTCTGTGCAGAGCTGGGGCCTCTACCTGACACCCCTACCCATGAACGAGCAAGCCAGGGGGAAATATGGGCAGGTCCTTTCGACACAGACTCGGGCAGGTGGTGCTTAGCTCTAATTCGTCCACCTTCCCGAGAAGCTGAAGAGGCAGAGCTTTAGCGTTTATTATTGTCAGTTATCAGCAAGTTTCACTAAGATGAAAAAGGTTCTCCTTGTCCACCAGAATTTGGGACGATTACTTTTCATACAGGCTTAACTTGTCTTCCTTGCGTAAAACTAAGTTAACAATTCTAGGCACGTTCTACATGAAATTGGTTCCGCCCTCCGGCTCAGTAGATATGTTAGCGATACCAATACACTGCAACAATTCTGATGGTCTAGCGCGCGCTGAGTTTTGCTAGACTAGGTACTTTTCGGTTTGTATACGAAAAGTAAGCTGTCAATGGGTTTGTAAAGTCCAAGTTGTATACTTCGTTTGAGTTGTGGATAGAGTTAACGGGATTTGGATGAGTTCACCGTCTCCCTGATAATTCCAATCCCTTGCCTAAAAAGACTTTAGGACCTTAGGGTGTAAACGTAGGCAATTGGTTTGTATAATGAGAACCTTAAAAAAAAGGCTTGGGTTTAGTTGTTTCAATTTTAGAAGTTACCTTTATAGTTCTAAGATATGATTATACTTTACTAAAATAGCTGTCAGAAAATGCAATTGTTGAATTTCTAAAAAGTATTAATTAAAAAAGATGTTTGTTTCAGCTTTAAAAAGTGTCTTGCTGTGTACCTATCCTTGGCTGACCTGGTATTCACTATTTGCCTATGATCACAAAAATACGATAGCCCAAAAAGAACAGGGCTATTTAACCATATCAGAGTTCTATAGCTGGAATTAGCAAAACTTCATCTAAGTAACCTTGTTACAATGAAAATGAGTGTCAAGTTATCATTGTGCCCGTGGATCCAATTCTAACTGACAGGTAGGATGTGTTGGCACACACATGTAATCCCAACACCTGAGAGATTGGGCTACATGGCAGTGAGACCTTATCTTGAAAAAGGAAAAGTGGGGAGGAAGAGGGAGACAAAAGAAAAATAATCCAGTTGAACAATCTTGGTTCAGAGTCTCATTTCATTCTTAGCCAGAGGGGCAAGACACCTTGATTAATGGACCCATGAGATTACTCTTTAAAAAGGAAACTAATTATTACATGAGGAAAGAAACAGAGTTAAAAAATAATATGTCGTGGTTGGTAATATAACTCAGTGGTAGAGTATTTGCCCAACATGTGTGAAGCCCTAGGATTCATCCCCGGTTCTGAAAAAAAAAAAAAGTGTCAATTTTTATTTTACTTCGGTGATGTGTCAGCTTTTAGTCACCAAGTAATCAATACATCAAAAACCCCACTCTCAAATGTGTAGTTTAATGAAGACACATATGTGATTGCAGTTTCTATTAGAAGCAATTAAAGGCTAAGCCTGACCATCAGGTTTGGAGATCTTAAATATATAATAAATATGTTACATAGGCAATTATATAATAAATTCTCAGTAAATAACTAACTTGATTGTATTTTGTAATTGGTTTAATCTGCCCTGTGTTTTTGCTTTGTTTGCTTGTTTTTTCGTGTTTTTTTTTGAGACAGGGTTTTTCTGTGTAGCCCTGGCTGCCCTGGAACTCACTCTGTTGACTAGGCTGGCCTGGAACTCAGAGATCTTCCCGCCTCTGCCTCCCGAATGTTGCCATGAGGCAGAGGCAGGTGGATCTCTGTGTGTTTGAGGCCATCCTGCTCCACAAAGCAAGTTTCAGGACAGCTAAGGACTGTTACCAAAAAAAAAAAAAAAAAAAAGTTGGGTTTCTGTAGTAATCCTTAATAAATATTTGTTCAGTAGTGGAGTGAGAGAAGCCAGAAAGCAGCTGGGCAGAAGAACCTCTAAGATATATAGATAACAAAAGTTCAAAAAAGATGAGTCCTAGCACGCTAGAGGCAGAAGCAAGAGGGGCTCCTGTTCCAGACTAGCCTGAACTACATAGCCTGACACTTTTTTTCTTTTGTTTTTGAACCTACCTTGTACCACTTAAGCCCCAACAAAACAAAGAGCGTGAGCGGGGTGGGGTGGGGTGGGGTGGGGCACTAATAAATTTCCCCAGCCAAATTCAATGTAGGGATTGGAACTCAGATCTAAATGCTTCTTAGCCTCGTTGAGTCGCTGTCTCCTAGTCCACTGCTCTTGTAGTAAGGCGGTTTCTATCACGTGTATGAGCTTCTATATCTGGACAGGCAAATTACCTGAGGTTTGTGTTTAAGAAAGTAGGCTACCTCCATAGGTTTTACAAGAGTCTTGTTCACGGAGATAAATCCCGAGACTATCCACTTATTTAACATGTCCTTTGGGAAAGCCACTGCGGGTCCCTTGGTAGTATAGGCACTGCCCTGACCCAGAGAAAGGGAACCTTTCCGTTGCCGAGGCAACAGAGACACACAGCCGGGTTGCTTGGTTCTCCCGCGCGCCCGGATGACGTCACGCGGCGAGATTCTCTTACGCAAAAGCTTCCGGCCCACCATCTTTGTCCCTGGCAAACTGGGTTTTGCGCAGTGGCTTAGATCTAGAAAGAATCGTGACGACGGGGAGGAAACCATTACACCACCACCCGGGCTGTGCTCTCCGGCTGCCGACGCCACCCCGCCCTTGCCTCCGGTGAGTTCAAGGCGGCTGGCTTTGGGGTGTGTCCCTGACTGACTGGGGGTGGTTGTGAGGGAGGGGAACCCCAAGCCCGGTGGTAGGCGGCGGGAGGAAAGGAGATCCGAGGAGCGTGACGGTTGAGGGTGGAGGGAGTCCTCGGGTGTGACCGTTGTGAGGGAGAAGCTTGGGAAAAGTGCCTCCTCTCTGGTGGCCCTGGTGGCCGTGGTGGGATGGGGTTGCGCTCGGGTGGAGCAGCTAGTGGTTGGGGGCTTCGAAGCGAAGCAGGTTTCCAGGACAGGGTTGGAGAGGGTTGAGGCCAGGGGTGTGGCCGCTAAAGGCTGGAGGCCGAGGGAGAACCTCCCAGTTTTCCCGGCTGGCATCTGTTCATTGAAAAGCCGAGACGTGTCCAGCAAAGCAAAGGGAGAAAGGATTCCCCCCCACGGTTTGGCCATTGAAACCTCTCCTGTCGCCCGTGTTTGGGGTTTCCAGGCTTCTCTCCCGACCTGGTGAAAACTGAACAGATAGATCTCCAGGGTCTTGACCTGGGGGAAGTGAGTAAGGGGACTAAATGTACTTCGAGGAAGGAGAAACCTGCATAATTGACCCCCTGTGTGAGAGGGGGAAGCCAATGAAAGGAAATCTGAGCCCGGAATTGTTGGATTCTCCCCCACCCCCTTTCTTCCCTAGGGTCATCAGGAGCAGTCTAGTTTGAACAAGGCTGTAAATTCTACGAGAAGTGAAAAAACTGGAATTTCCTGCTGTTTCTTTATTCTTTGAATTTCACAGGATATATTAGCTTTCTGGGCAGCTTTCTATTTAGGGGAAGGCTCTTCATAAAACTCAGGCTATTTATTTCATTGTGAAGCAGTGTGAATGTGTCATGAATGCTTCGTTGAATTTATTTTGCTTCCTTTTAACTTTTAGAAGGGAGAGTGTTTTTAAATTGCCAAACACTTTTGCAACCGTTGTGGTTTAGAAGACAAAGAACACGTAATAAGTGCAGAGCGGCAAATTGACTAAGAAAGTGCTTTCAGTGAGGAACAGTTTAAATTATTAATTGGTTTCCTTTTGTAGTTCTGCTTAGCCTTAGGGTGCACTTACAAAGTAATAATAGAAAGAGGCAGGTGAAGGAGGCGCAGCAAAGGGAACACATCTCAGGGATGACGACATGAGGTGGAAAATGAGAACAAAATTGCAGGTGTCTTGCCAGGCAAACAGAAATTTCTCTTGCCTGAGAAATAAAGGGGAGTGTGTTCTGCAAACAGCCTCCCCATAGATGGATGGTAAACTTAATATAAAGCAAATATTTTGACGAATTAAGGCTCAAAAAAGTTCCCTTACATCTTTTCCTTCTGTAAAAGATTATTATTTTAAACTACTGTGTCTTAAAACACAAGCCTGAACCCACTTACACAAGGAGTATTCAGGGAGGACACCATCCCCTGTTTTCCTTATCCTAGGCTTGTTTCCCAAAATGCCTTGGCATTTCATAACAGTTGGGGGTAAGACTGTTGGACTTCTTTCTTTATGTATCAACGTATAGTTATTAAAATAGAAACCAGAGGTGAATTTGGCTTTTTATTGTTTTATTTCTGATAAGGTAATTAATCTGAAGCTGCTATTGTCCTTGTGCTATTGAACATTTGGCCAGATATGATCTTTACACCTCTCAACCTTGTAAGCGAAGGTTGCTGGAATGACAATTCTGCTTTACAGTTCACCGAACTTTGGCTAGCTACTGACTTTATGTGTACAGAAGGGTATAGTGGCCTTCCTGACCCTAGTGTTAGTTGCCATTTCCCAGAGAACCATTTAAAATTAAGACCTTATTAACTTATTTTCTGACCTTATTCTACTCAGCCTATTAATCTTATTTTAATGTTGAGTTTCTCTTTTGGGGAATTGAAGGAAGGGGAGGATGGACGGACTTTGACAACCTATATTTGGCAGAAACTAGGTTATGTTAATCTAGATCTATAAACTTGTACAGGCAGGCCTGTGAAAGGCGGTGCCATCACATGTGGGCTAGGACAAATGCAGGTGATTATGTGCTTTGCCTCGAGGCTGCTTTGTTCTTTAAGAGTGTCCCTAGGCCACACCATAAATCAGTTAGTGACTTTTCAGGTTTGATGTTGTATAAGGTCCTATGAGTTCAAATTCCATTGTGACTTACTTATTTTTAGGGATTTCCTGAAAAACAAAACTTCAGTAGGATTTTATGTTTTGAAGCACTAGGCAAGTTGTATTTTCTCTAGCTCCATTCTGGCTATTTTTCTATGGTTTCTAATATAGACATCCGTTTTCACATCATCTATTTGGAGAATCTGGCTGTGCCTATCTGCAAGTGCTTGGGGGTATTTCATTTAAAAATAGGTATATGTGATTATTGTGAGTTGAAAGTCACAGTGACATTAAGGTTCTGCCATTACCACCTCTTCTCATTTTTAATTAAATATTTAATATTCATATATGCATATAATGTGTTTAGCTCCAGCCCACCCCCATCCTTCCTTTCTACTCCTTTGCTTTTGTTTAGACCATTTTCATTTTTTCCTTGGAGGTTTTTTTGTTTATTTGTTTTTACTTAAGGCAAGGATAAACTTGTCACCATGATTCTTTGCCTGTATGGTGGGGATTATTTCATCATAATTGTTTACCATGGTGTCAGTTGTATTTTGTGATGTATTTATCTGCTTATTTTTCTTCCTTTTCGATTTTTTTTTTCTTTTGATGGAGAGATCTTATGCCTGCTAGGTAAGCACGCTACCATTGGGCTATATCCCTGCTCTAAATTGGCACTGAGGATTGAGCACAGGTTTCCCGTATATTAAGCAAGCCCTCTACCACTGAGCCCTTTTTTATTTATTTTATTTTATGTATGGGTATTTTGACTGCATATAGGACTATATACCACTTGTGTACTCAATGCCCTCAGAGGCCAGAAGAGGGCATCTGATCCCCTGGAACTGGAGTTAGAGACAGTGGCGAGCTGCCAAGTGAGTGCTCGGAACAGAACCCTGGTCTTCTGGAAGAGCAGCCAGTGCTCTTAGCTGCTGATCTATCTCCAGCCTTATTTTGTTTTTGAGACAAAGTCTCATTATATTATCCAGACTTACCTCAGCCTCCCAAGTATCTGGTCATCTCTTTTTGTTAGAGCAGAGATTCTTGGTGTAGGATCTATGTTGCAGGCTTCTTAAAAATTGTTATTATTTTATTTTATATTCATGGGTGTTGTACCCGTGTATATGTCAGTGTGCCATGTGTGTGCCTTGTGCTCAAGGAGGCCAGAAGAGGATGCTGGATCCCCTGGAATCAGAGTTACAGTGATGTGTCTCTATGTTGGGTGCTGGGAATCGAATCCTACAAATCATGCCAGTGTAGGCTGTTAATAAAGGTGACTGATTTGAACAGTGTATGTTGAGAAATCCTGTTAGAATTTCATGTTATCTGGGAATAATGGCGCATGTAACTGCAGCACTAATGAGGCAGAAACAGGAGGATCACCATGGGTGTGAAGCCAGTCTGGTTTTTATAGTGGGTTTCAAGCCTGTCAGGACTTACAGAGGAGATCCTATCTTAAAAGAAAAGAAAAAATAATTTTATATATGTGTATGTGAGCTTTAGAAGACAGAATGCTTTTGTGCACTTTTCCCAAGTAACTGGGTGAAAAACTTCTAAACAAATTTTGTTTTCAAGTCTTAGGTTTGAGGTTTTGCTGATTCCAAGGGATTTAAAGTGGTATAACCACGGTCTGTATGAACAGTGATGGTTTTGAGCAGTAACTATAGCACTCTTGTCGGACCCTAGTAATTGTTTCTGTGTGTCATCTTTGTTTGTACATGTAAACTCACAGATAAGATTTATATTACTAGTCTTTAAAAAGTTTTGTCGTGATTTGAAACAGGGTCTTTGTATGTAGCCCTGGCTGGCCTGGAATTCATTATGTAGACCAAGCTGCCCTTGAACTCAGAGATCCTCCTGCCTGTTTATGTGAAGAATTCCTAGTCAGGTGTGGTGGCACACACCCATATTCTCAGCACCTGGAAGGTGGAGACAGGAGAAGGAGGGATTCAAGTCATCTTCAGCGACGTAGCAAGTTTGAGACCTTCTTGGGCTAGATGAGATCTGTCTTAAAAAACAAAAAGAACTGTGTGTGGTGGCATGTTTGTAACGCCAGCACTCTGGACAGAAGTAGGAGGAGAGGACCTTTGCAAATTCAAGGCTAACCTCTTTTACATAAAGAATTCCAGGCCAGTCAGGGCTACACAGGCAATGCTGTTGCAAAAAGCACAGGCAGCTCACTGGTTAAGAGCACTTGCTGCTCTTGCAGAGGACCCAGTTTCAATTTCCAGCACCCACATCAGGTGGCTCACAGCCATCTGTAACTCTAGCTTCAGGATCTAACTCCCTGTTCTGGCCTTCTTCAGCATGGGTGCACACACAGGTGTACACACATACACATAAGTAAATAATAAAAATCTTTAAAACCAAAAAAAAATCCCTAATTTGTCTGCTTTCTATTTAATTTATACTATGAATGGATTGATAATAGCATTCTCTGAATTTTTGCTAGAAAGACGTGAAAACATTAATGCAACCTCTAGGTGACAAATATCAAAACAATTTCTGTATTCCGCATGGTGTTCGTGGTTTCTAGCTCTTTATTTCCTTTATGTTTTTGAGACAGGGTCTTATGTAGTCCAGGTTCACCTCAAAGCCACTGTGTAGCTATGCTGAGGAGAATGACTTCGAACTCCTGGTCTTCCTGCCTGTACCTCCCGGGGCTGGGAGCAAGGCAGGCTTATTTTTTCTGAGACCCTTTTAGCAAGCAGTATTTAACAGGTTGGCAGAATTGTTTCTGCCTTTGAGCTTTGCCTACTTTGAGTGACCCCATCCTGAGGCAGGGGAGTGACCAGGTTTTCCTGATTAGAAAGTTATGGAGTAATCTTTGGCACTAAGCCTTTGTCTTAAATGTTTGGGTGAGTGACTAAGATGTATTTACAAAGGTATCAAGCTTGTCCTTGGAGGCTACAGAGCCATAAGGGGTTCAGGTTATTACCCTATTCCATTTGTCCTTCATACTTTGCTCCTAGAAACTCCTTGAGGCAAGTTGTGGTTTTTAATTTCCTGTGCTGCTTGAACCGCAAATGGTGGTGGTAATAGGAAGAAACTACTCATTTTGTTAAAAAGCAGAAATTCTTAACCATAGATGTTCTTAAAATTAATCAGATGCCTTGCTGGAGACATTACTTGGATAACAGCATTCTTCACTCTTACCATAGGTACACTCTAAAGATCCAGAATCATGACTGACTCCAAGTACTTCACAACCAATAAGAAGGGTGAGTAGAACCTCAGCAGACCCTTCACATTGTTCAGTTAAGTTGCTGGGTTATACTGCCCAAGTAGAATGTTCTGAAGTTTTTTACATGTGTTTGCACCCTCTCCTTGGGAATCTGATGTTTCTACAAATAATTAATGTTTGAATAAGTTATTAAAGTGTAGGGGATTTTATATGCTTGCTTTCCAGTGCTGGGAACCTAATCTAGGGTCTTGCACATGCTAGGCTAGTGCTCTGTCATCATGCTACACCTCCAGTTCTTCATCACCTCTGTGGTCAGTAACATAATACTGGGTTTTACACGTGAGTGTGGGCCTAGGAACTAAGGATTCTTGTTGGGAAAATCTACCTTCCCAAATTGTTTCCAGATGGCAGATTTCTGGAGGTGTGGACAGCCCTTCCATCAGAGATAAATTAGTGTCACTGTCCTCAGCTTACTAAGCACGCAACTGAGCTCGCTTTGTTTCTCAGAGTCAGAATTCTTTGTTTTTGTATTCAGCAGGTCTTACATTTGCTGAAATATTCTGGGCATGGCACCAACTACTGTGATGTTTATTATTCTTGTTTTCCAGTTTCTTGGCCTGCTTCTCAGGTGTGAGTGTCCTCTAGTGGCTGAAATGTGGCAACTTTTCTGGCATAGAATTTGTCTTTATTTGCCTTGAAGTATTTTCTGGTGTGTTGTCTTGAGACTTAGCTGAGTTGGAGTATGTACTATGCACATTTTGCTTGGTACACTAGTGGAATTACTGATTGAGTACCCCAATTTCCAGTAAGTCAAAATAGGTGCCGAGGATACCTAGTACTCAATTTTGGTTTCTAAATAACATTTTTTCAGCCAGGTGGTGGTGGCACACACCTTTAATCCCAGCACTTGGGAGGCAGAGGCAGGCGGATCTTTGTGAGTTCAAGGCCAGCCTGGTCTACAGAGCGAGATCCAGGAAAAGCGCAAAGCTACACAGAGAAACCCTGTCTCGAGGAGAAAAAAAAAAAACCCCAAAATAAATAAACAACATCTTTCACTGAAAGGAACCAGAACTCTTGGGCCAGATACTGATTCTGGGGCTGTGTTAAGCTGAAGGTGAATGTCTTCTAAGTAAGGAAATGCTCAGAAAATAATGGGACATCAAGGATCCTCACACCTTAAAAGGGCCTTCACTGGCCAAATTTGGATAATTTGAACAACAAAAAAAGTGATCAGAGTAATGGATTATATCCTATTGAAAATAATCAAGGCCCTGGATTCGATTCACAACATCCATAATGGTGGCTCACAACTGTATATAACTCTGGTCCCAGGGAATCTGGCTCCCTCTTATGATCTCTGTGAGTACCAGGCAGAGCATTCATATATACAAAAAAATTTAACAATTGAAAAAAGACAAAATAAACAGAAACCCCCCAACAATAACGAAAACCAAATTTAGAACCTTATCCATATAGTCAATGTTAACATCACCACCAACAGGTCAAAGTGACACCATTCACCTTTGGGTGTGATTTTCTGTGAAGTTAACTTGCCAAAAATTCATGACCTTATTGGAATTCAGGAAACCCATGGCAAGCTGTAAGTGCTTCTCATAATAAGGGTCCTGTACTTAAAAAGTCTTATCATGACCCAGCACTCAAGAGGCAAAGGCAAGTGGATTGCTGTGAGTTCAGGGCCAGCCTCGTCTTCAGAGCTCCATGTAGCATGAATCTTAAAAGTTCTTATTAATAAAATCAAACCTGAGCCAGGTATTGGGGTGAACACTGGAAGATCAGAGAGACAGAACAAGCCACAGCTAACCTCACCTGGCCAACTTCTCAGCTGGTCTTGTTTCCTCAGACTGGAAGCCTCTGTGTCCTCATATCCGAATGGCTCTCAGCTGAACTGTGCTGCTAGAAGCCTGAAAGCTTAACCAGCCAAATGCTTCTAGTTTCTGGTCCTCACGCCTTATATACCTTTCTGCTTTCTACCATCACTCCCTGGGATTAAAGGCTCACTTTCTGGGATTAAAGGCATGAGTCACCATGCTTGGCTGTATCCTTGAATACATGGATTTCTGCCTCTGGAATGCTAGGATTAAAGGTGTGTGCTACCACTGCCTATCCTAAGTATCTAGTGGCTTTTCTGTTCTCTGACCCCAGATAAGTTTATTAGGGTACACAATATTTTGGGGAACACAATACCACCACAGTTCCAGGCTAGTCTGGGCTACACAGTAAGACCCTGTTTCAAAAACAAAAATATTATCATGAAAAGAAATTGTTTCAGATTAATGACTGAAGAGACATGATAATAAATGTAATGCATATTCTTAAGTGAATGTACCCTAGAACTGGGCCTGGGATGGAAGTCAGGTTGCTGTAAAGGGCATAGAACAAGGTCTATGTTTAGATTAGATGATAGTGGTGATATATTGATATTTTAATAGTACAATAATTAAGAAAAGTTCCTTATCCTTGAAAAGCACAAGTTATATATTCAGGGCTAAAGAGGAATGGTGTCTGCAACTTTAAATGATATAAGAAAAAGGTCTGTGTATATGTAGAGAATTGTAAAGCAAATGCAGCAACGTCATAAATGTGGGATAAATACAGTTGGAAGATTGATTTTATTTTTTAAGATTAATTTGTGTGTGTGTGTGTGTGTGTGTGTGTGTGTGTGTGTGTGTGTGTGTGTGTGTGTGTTAGGGGATCTTCCTTTAAAATTTTTATTATTATTTTATTTTATGTGCATGAGTATTTTACCTGTGTACCACATGCATGCCTGGTGCCTATGGAGGCCTGAAGAGGACATCAGATTCCCCCTGGAACTGGAGTAACAGCCAGTTGTGAGCTGTCATGTCAGTACTGGGATCAAATCCAGGTCCTTTGGAAGAGCAGCCAGTACTCCTAATCTCTGAGCCATCTCTCCAATCCCTGTTTTGATCTTTGCTAACTAATCTGTTTTATTTAATGTTGAGATAGTCTTACCACTAAGTAGCAAAGTTGTCCTAGAACTTGTGATGTACCCCAGATTAGCCTGGAAGAAATAGTCATACCACTAAGTAGCAGAGTTGTTCTAGAACTTGTGATGTACCCCAGGTTAGCCTGGAATTCACTTTTCTGACATCCTCTTAAATGCTGGGATTACAAACACATATATATCACCATGCTAGGCTGAATATTGAGATTTTTAAAGCTCTCCAGACTTTTTTAATGTATAGCCAATGATGAGAACCATTTTTAGCTGCTAGCAATGCTTGGTAGATTTGACTAGTGGAAGGAGTGAGACTGGGTACTAAAGTGTGTATGCAACATACTTTGGCTTTCCTAGTACCTGTCTATAGATCCCTCCAGTTTCTTCTCTATCTTTATTATTTATACCTCACAAAAAACATTAGCCTGCTGGTCATGGTGGTATATGCCTAGAATGTCTGCACTTAGGAAGCTGAGGCAAGATGCTTGGGCTATATAGCAAGACCCTGTCTCAAAAATCAAACAGGGCCACTGAAATGGCTGGCCAGTAAAGTAAAGATCAAACCTGAGTTTGATCTCTGGGGCCCATGTAAAGGTGGAAGGAGAGAACCAACTCCACAAAGTTGTCCCCTGTCCTCCATACACTTGGTAAGGCGATTTGCTTACACATACATCTCACATGCACTGCTGTGCATGTACACAGTAGTAAAAACCACACGCATTAAGTCCTTGGTATTCTTTCAGCTATCTACTTCATCATTTGGATATGTGTTATTTTTCTTATGCTAACACTTTATGTGTTTTGGTGACCAACATATTGTCTGTAACAACATAGAAGAGTTTTTGTTGTTGTTTGTTTTTTGAGACAGTCTCACTATGTAGCTCTGGTTATCCTGGAACTCACTATGTAGACCAGGCTGGCCTCCAACTCAGAGATTCTCCTGCCTCTGCCTCCTGAGTGCTAGGATTAAAGGCATACACCACACCTGGCCATTTTTTCTAACTGGTTTTTAAAACTCACCAGTTCATCATACTTTCTCTTGTAGAGGTGCAGATGACATTTATAAAAGCTTGAGACGTACAAATTGACTCACTGCTAGATAATATCATGTTTTTCAGAAATGGATAAACCGTGTTCCTTTTGCTTCCTGTGCCGCCCACCAGAACCGCCTCTGGAGCAGATTCTCTCCATTTATGCTTGGTTCTGGAATCATTTCAGTTACATCCTGTTTCAATTCTGCAGCTCCTGCTGCTGCTCACAATTCCAACTTTCTGAAGCCCTGCTGTTTGCCCTTCACTGTTCCAGAAGTAAATGATGGAGCTCTGACAACTGCATTTGGCAGCACAGGTCTCAGTAAAGAGAATGATGCTTTCAAAGGCCTGACCTTTCTGCCAGTGTTATTTCTTTAATTGTCAATTAAATGGAGTAGTAATTTTTAGAACAATTTGCTTGCCTACTGGGAATGGATATTGATAAAACGAGGTTTTTTTGTGCTCCGTTTTCATGTTTCTTGTCAATATACTTCCTGTCAGAGGCTTCAGGGAGATCACAGTTTGCAGACTGTGGATGATGTCCAGGTAAAATGAACAATGGGAACAGTCTAGGAGGTGGTAGACAAGGAGGCAATATTGTAGTCAAGTTTGGAGGTGGAGATGGAAAAGATGGGTGAGGTGGCACACACCTGTAATCCCCAACACTCTGAAAGCAGAGGCAGAAGAACTGCCTGTGACGTAAGAGGCCACCTTAGTCTACATTGTGAGTTCCAGGCCAGCCAGGGTTACATTGCAAGGCTCTATTGCGGACAAAACAGACAACAACAAAAGGTGGGGGTATCCGTAGAAGGAAGAAGTGGGAGTCGGCGTGAACACAGTGGTGTGGGGTGGCCTTCCTTCCATTCACCACCTCCTTGTCTGTCTGATGAGAGTTGTTGCCTTGTTCTCATGAAAATGGTGGTGTGGGATAGCCCTCCTTCCATTCTCCCTCTCCTTTGTCTGTTTAGGACCATTGCCTTTTTATTTTGTCCCCTGCATTCTAAAGGCAGATGAGGCTAGAGATGGTGCCTTAAAATAGCGGTGACAATCTTTGACACTTCTTGAGTAGTCATTCAAAATCGGGCCTTTAGAAATGACCTTAGTTTGTATGATTTTAAGCTTCACTCTTCCTCCTCCTTTTTTCTTGCTTTCTGAGACAGGATCTCATATAGCCTTACCTGGCCTGGAACTTACTAAGTAGTAGTAACTTACTAAGGCTGACCTTGAATTTATTGCAGTCTTCCTGCCTTTACCTCCCAAATGCCGGGATTACAGACGTGCTACCATGCTAGGCCATACTATATTGATTGAAGCTGAGACTAAAGTATTGACTAAGGTAGTGATTTCTTTCATATTTATTTTTATATTTATTGTGTTTGTGTGTTTGTGTGTAGGTGTGTGCCATAGCACACGTGCAAGTCAGATGATGACTTTCAGAAGTTGGTTCTCTCCATCATCTAGGTTCTGAAGCACCTTTAACCATTTAGCCATATCACCAGTCCATACGTATTTATTGAGGATTTCATACATACGTAATGTATCTTGTTCATATCCAGCACCCACTTCTCCCTCCAATTCTTCCCAACATGTTCCCCTCCCAGCTTCATGGTCTTTATTCTTCTTTTTTTTTAATAATCCACTGAATCCAACTGGTGCTGCCCTCATGCGCATGTGTATGGGCCATATAGTAGAGCATGGACAGTCTCAGTGGTCACATCCCCAAAGAAAAATGACTCTTTCAGCTGCCAAGACCTACCAATAGCCCTCAAGGTAGGGACTGAGCTACTTGTGAGTCCCTCCCTCCTCCATACTTAATGTTGACTGGCTTGTTATTGTGCACATAACCACAGGTACTGTGAGTTAATGAGTGCAGTGGCCATCTCATGCACAGAAACAGCATTTCACAACCCTCCTCCCCTCCTCCAGCTCATACATTGTTTCTACTACCCCTTCTCCTGTGATGTTCTCTGAGCCATGGGGCAGGTGAGGTGGTTGATACAGGTATTCCATTTAGGGCTGAGGACTCGGTCACTTATTCTCACCACTTTGAGTATTTTTGACTCTGTATTAACCAATGTTTAATTTAAACAAGCTTTTCTGACCAAGGTTGAGAAGAGCATCAATCTCTGAGTATAAATGCAAATATGTAGAAGGCAGCTGGACAACAGCAAATAACAGTGATAGATTGTCTACTATGGCCTAGGACCTCCCTGGCCTTGGCCTTTACCAGGTTTCCAGTACTGTTTTAGTTACTTTTCTTTCTTTTTTTTTTTTTTTTTAAAGATTGATTTTATTTATTATGTATACAGTGTTCTGCCTATATGTCTGCCTGCAGGCCAGAAGAGGGCACCAGATCTCATTACAGATGGTTGTGAGCCACCATATGGTTGCTGGGAATTGAACTCAGAACCTCTGGAAGAGCAGCCAGTGCTCTTAACCACTGAGCCTTCTCTCCAGCCCCCGTTAGTTACTTTTCTATTGCTATGACAGAATAACATGACCAAGGCAACTTAGAGAAGGAAGGGTTTCTTTGGGGCTTATAGTTCCAAAGAGATAGGAGTCTGTCACCATCATGATATGCAGGCAGGCAGATGGTGCTGGTGTGCAGCAGCTGAGAGTTCACATCCAAGTCCACAAACAGGAAGCAGAGAGGGAACAATGGGAGTGGTGACCTTTGAAACCTCAAAGCCCTCCCTGAGTGACACACTTCTGCCACTAAAACCATATATCCTAATCCTTCCCAAACAGTTCTACAAACTGGGGACCAAGTATTCAATCAAACATGTGAGCCTATGGGAGTGTTTTCATTCAGACCACCACAGGTACCAAGCATGAATTCCCTGTGAATGGACTTCAAGTCTTATTAGAAAGTGGACTATTTACTCTATACCAGTCATGCTACTGTAGCACTAAACTGATGATTTCTTTTTCATTTTTTACTTAACTCTGGTTTTACATTAGGATCACTTACAGACTAAGAGCTCTTTATAATCTAATTCATTTGGGCCAGAGTAGATTCAAAGCATTGATGTTTTTGAACATTTCTTATAGTGAGATAGCTCAGTAGGAAAAATTGCTTACTATGCACCCTGACCATCTGGATTATATCCCTGCAACCTACATAGTAAAGTTGATGGTACCGGCTACATCAGTAAAGCCATTATTCCTACTTCAGTGTGGGAGACTGAGACAGCAGAATCATCCTGAGTACGCAGCACAGCAGCAGAAACAAGAAGACTATCTGAACAAGGTGGAAGGAGAGAATCAACTCCCCAAAACTGTTCTTTAAAAAGTTATTTCTATGTGTATCAGTGTTTTTCTGCATGGATATATGTGTGCCTGGTGCCTGCAGAGGCAAGAGGGCATCAGGTTCCCTGGAACTAGTTACAGAGTTAACGCTACCATGTAGTGCTGGGAACTGAAGCTAGGAAGTGCTTGCTGGGGGGCTGGAGGCATGACTCAGCAGGAGAGGACCTGAGTTTATTCCTGAGTTTATTTCCTAGCACCCCCATCATGGTTCACAACTGTCCATAACTCCAGTTCCAGGGCATCCAGTGCCCTCTTCTGGCCTCTGAGGGTACTAGGCATGCATGTGGTGCATAGACATACATGCAGGCAAAAAAACTTACACACATAAATAAATAAATCTTGAGAGGGGAGGAAGGATGCTAAGTCCAATTTTGTAACTAATAAATTATGTGATTTTTTTTAGCCTAATTTATTTATCTGTAAAGTTGTTTCTCTTTTAGTTTGTAAACACTAATTTCCAAGCCAGCTCCCTACCTTACATTTATTTTCTTTTAGGTCCCTAAAATTCTACTGCAAAATCATCCCTCAGATACCCGTGTAACAGCTCTAGCTGTCCTGGAACTCACTCTGTAGCCCAGGCTGGCCTTGAACTCAGAGATCCACCTGCCTCTGCCCCCTGAGTGCTGGGATTAAATGTGTGTGCCACCACTGCCTTGACACTCTTATGCTTTCTAAAGAAAGGTCTGCATTGCATTTTCAAAGATGATGATTTAAAAGGCTTAAAAAATTTATTGACGGAGTCTTTGTTGGTGGGTCAGTTAATATTCTGGGGCTTTGAAATGCACATCTCAGAGTTTTGAAATAGTCTTACTTGTGGCTGCCTTGCTTCCCTTCTGATATTGCGTATTGCCGTATTCTACCCATTCTCTAGTCCTGAGACCATACCTGTTTGTTCTCATCTCTTTTAGGAGAAATCTTCGAGTTAAAAGCTGAACTCAACAATGAAAAGAAAGAAAAGAGGAAGGAGGCTGTGAAGAAGGTGATTGCTGCCATGACCGTGGGGAAGGATGTCAGGTAAGGGTGATGACTCTTAGACTGTAGAGAGCTCTATACCCATTTTGTAGCTCTTCCTGCTTTCATATAATATCATAGACCGCTGAGGTACAGTGGTGCATGTCTATACTCCCAGCTGCTTGAGAGGCTGAGGCAGGAGGATCACTTGAGCCTGAGTTGGGCGCCCAACTTGGGCCACATAGCATCTCTGTCTCAAAAAAAAAAAAAAACCAAACCAAACACATAAAACCTATGAAAGTGGAGTTCTCCCATTGAAATAAATATCACGGATATGTACATGCTTTTATATTAGATATGACTTATGTGTTTTGTTAGTTTGCTTTTTACATTTTTGTTGCATACAGGTTTAGCATGAACTGTCTTTAGTCCTGGCACAGGTACACACCTGTTGCTTGAGAAAGTTTTAGAAGATGATAAAAATCTACTGAACTCACATACTCTTTAATTGGGTTAAGCTAGTGCCCTCAGCTTTACAGCTCTATTGTTGGATTCCAGGGGAAAACCAACACTACCAATATTGCCTTGATCTTTGTTATTTGTTTCTGTGATTAGTGAGACTTTAAAATGAGTAGGGGTCATCTGCAGGCCTCACAGCATTCTGAGGTCCTCTCCTGGGTCCATGAGATCAAAGCTATTCTTATAATACTTGAATGCTCTTTGACCCTTTACCATTCTGAGCTGATAGGAAGCAGTGGTGGGTGGAATTGCCAGTACCTTACCGTGAACACAGGCAGTGGTCATTCTGTTTTTCAGTACCAAGAAAGAAGTTATGAGGACAAGAATGGTTTCACTTAGGACTGTCATTCATAATGCAGTAAAATTTTATTTTATTCAGTAGGTTTTTTTTTTTTTATTTTATATATGTGTGTGCTCCTGTGGAAGTTAGAGGACAGCTCTCAAGAGTCTGTTCTCTCCAGGTACCTGTGGAGTCCTGGGATTAAGTCAGGTTGTCTGGCCCATGTGCGAGCACTGAACTTGCTGAGCCATCCTGCCAAACCTTTTTCTTTATTAAAAAAGTTCTCTCTCTCTCTCTCTCTCTCTCTCTCTCTCTCTCTCTCTCTCTCTCTCTCTGTATGTGTTGAAGCTGTGTTTTTAATATACTGTGCGAGCACTGAACTTGCTGAGCCATCCTGCCAAACCTTTTTCTTTATTAAAAAAGTTCTCTCTCTCTCTCTCTCTCTCTCTCTCTCTCTCTCTCTTTCTCTATCTGTCTCTCTGTCTCTGTATGTGTTGAAGCTGTGTTTTTAATATACTGTGTGTGAATAGAGGGGCTGGAGAAATGGCTTAGTGGTTAAGAGTATTTGTTGCTCTTGCAAAGGACCTGGGATCAGTTCCCGGCACCCAGGAGGTCCAACACTCAACACCTTCTGACCTCCTCAGGCATCCAGCGTACATGTGGTGCACATACACACAGGCAGACAAAACACTATTATGAATAAAATAAATATATAGAGAGAACATATCCATTTATTTGAAAGAGATACTAAACTATTTCTTCATTTTCTGAGTCGTGTATTTATATGAAGCTGAATTTCTCCTTATACTGCAGCTGAAACGTTCCACAGCAGAGGTGGTAACGTGAGAATTCCTTTGTCTCTGCTTAACTAGAGTGTGTAAACAAGGGGCTGATGAGGTGGCTCAGTGGGGGAAGTCACTTTGCTGCAGAGCCTGGTGACCCGTCCGTTCCCAGAACCCAGCAGAGAACCACTTTTGGCAGGTTGTCTCAGATCTCCACATATGTGCTGTAGCATAGGTGCCCACAGACATACACCAGCAATAAATAAGTAAAATGTAAAGCACTGCCATCTTCTTATTAATTAAAAATTAACTTTAAAAAAATTTATGAAATGAGCTTATGATTTATTTTATTTTTGAGACAAAATATCTCTAGTACATACCTCTGGCAATCCTGGAACTCACTATGTAGACCAGGCTGCTCTCAAACTCACAGAGATCTACCTGTCTCCACCTCCCACCTGCTGGAATTAAAGGTATGTGTCACCATGCCCAGCTTGTGCTTGTTAATTTAAGTGGATTCTTGTTCTACTAAGTCTAAACTATTTTCTGTCTTGTCCTTTTATGAAATTTTACCAATCTTTGAATGAAACAGGAATGGCAGAAACCTTGCTCAGGGCATCAGGAGCATCGGAAGATGCTGAGCTGTCTCCTGTCCCACCATTGTTATCTGAGCTTCCTGTTGCTTATGGGGATAGCTCTTGGCTTTTGGTCTCAGCATCCATTGAGATGTCCAGAAAACTTTGGTTCATGTGGGTTATGCCTATTGACATTCAAACAGGAAAAACTGAGAAAATTTTGAAGTGTTAGTTATTCCACTTGAAGTAATAGTCATAAACCTTTGAAGTTTACTATAATTTTCTCTTGTTGGCAGTGGGGATTGAACCTAGGGCCTTGCCTATGCTAGGCAAGCCCTTCATCACTAAACTCTTTCCCAGCCCTCTTTCTCCATTTTATTTCAAGAGAGGTCTCACGATGTTGCTGAGGCTGTCTTTGAACTCTCCCTGAAGCACAGACAGCCCTTGGACTTGAGTCTTCCTGCCTCAGCCTCCCAGGAGCTGGGGTTCCAAGCATGCACCAGTGTGCCCAGCTTCAGTCTTCTTGTGCAGGGTGTTCGAGTTACTTAGGATTGTAAGCATTCTGTTGGATAATGTTTTGTAATTATTTACTGGTTTTGCAGCCATTCTGCATCTGTGTCTGGGCCAGAGAGATGGCCTGATGGCGTGAAATCAGTCACTAGGATCCACATAGTTCAAGGAGAGTACTGACACCTAAAGGTCTTCTTTATGAGTGCAGGTAGACATTTCTGTCCTTACAGGAGAATGGTAAATGGCTAGTACTTGGGAAAGGAATAGACCATTGTAGTTGATAATGCCAATGCTTTTTAAAAATAAATAAATTCATAAATTCTCCCAATTCCAAAGGGAATCAGCATACCTTGGAGAAATGATTGATTCCAGATCTTGATTAGGAATTTAAAACTTCATTTGAGAAATTATAGAAACACTTGAAAATAGAGGGTCATAATACAAGGACTTGGGAGCTACCTAAATTCCTACTGGTCAAAGGTGGAAGAAAATGAGCATTAAAAAGTTGGAGTGCGCCGGGCGGTGGTGGCGCACGCCTTTAATCCCAGCACTCGGGAGGCAGAGCCAGGCGGATCTCTGTGAGTTCGAGGCCAGCCTGGACTACCAAGTGAGTTCCAGGAAAGGCGCAAAGCTACACAGAGAAACCCTGTCTCGAAAAACCAAAAAAAAAAAAAAAAAAAAAAAAAAGTTGGAGTGCTTTGATATCACCATGAATTGATATGGAAAATTGTTATTTTTCTTCTTTCAGTTGATAAAGCTAATTATTTTTCTTAGAATATGCGTAATTTGTTATAAATGAAACAGCATAATATATGCTGAGTGTGGTGGTACACATCCAGGTCATTTTGGCCTACATGGTAAGTTTTAGGTCAGCCTAAACTATACATAGCCTGACCCTGCTTGGAGAACCAAGCACTAGGCATGTAGTTGAGTAAGAAATATACTTTCTGATTCATTTTAAAATAATTCCAGGGTTTGGAGTACAGGTCAGTGACAGAGCACTTCTCTAGCATGTGTGAGGTCCTGGGTTTTGTCTCCATCACTGAATAAAGAATCTAGAACAGCTAATCTGTAGTGGGAAAGAGGTTTGAGGGCATATGTGAGATTATTATTATGTGAATCTTGATGGAGCTATATCAGCATTTGTGGGTAATGTATATGTTGGGCTCATTCTGTTGCTCTCAAATTTATCATAATAGTTTTTCCCCTCCACAAAAACTTTGAGAGAGCTGAGGATGTAACTCAGTGGTAAAGCACTTGCCTACCATGCACAAGGCTGAGTTCAGCCTATGCACGACAAAACTAGAGTTTAGAGACCTGCCAGGCAATGGTATTTTCCCTTTCTTTCTTCTTTCTTTCTTTCTTCCTTCCTTCCTTTTTTTCTTTCTTTTCTCTCTCTCTCTTCCTTTCTTTCTCTCTTCCTCCCTCCCTCCCTTCCTCTATCTGTCTGTCTGTCTATTTATTTATTGGTTTTTTTTTTTTTTTTTGGTTTTTCGAGACAGGGTTTCTCTGTGTAGCTTTGCGCCTTTCCTGGAACTCGCTTTGGAGACCAGGCTGGCCTCGAACTCACAGAGATCCGCCTGGCTCTGCCTCCCGAGTGCTGGGATTAAAGGCGTGCGCCACCACCGCCCGGCTATTGGTTTTTTGAACAGAATTTCTCTGTGTAACAGTCCTGGCTGTTCTCACATTCACAAAGATCTACCTGCTTTTGCCTCCTAAGTGCTGGAATTAAAGGCGTGCACCACCACCACCCAGCTTATTTTTATTTTTTTAGTTACTTATTCCCTTGAAAATGAGTTATCAGCATTGTACCATTGTCCTCTTGTCAAGTCGTTGTGGAATCAAGGCTGTCACTTCATTATCAGTGGAACAGCTTAGCACTAACTTCGCTTCCCTCATTTCTCTCTTCCTCTTCTCTCCTCAGCTCTCTCTTCCCAGATGTGGTGAACTGTATGCAGACTGACAACCTGGAACTAAAGAAGCTTGTGTACCTCTATCTGATGAACTATGCCAAGAGTCAGCCAGACATGGCCATCATGGCTGTCAACAGCTTTGTGAAGGTACTTTGCCCAAGGATTCAATCTTCTCTACCTCATGCAACCTCTTCAGAAGTGACTTTTGATATAATTTGTGTCTGCATTGCAGATAAGCAACCTATGTTTAAGGGACGAAATCCTGTAGGGAAGTCCTGGCAGTAGTCAGCAATGTTCATGTTATTAGCACTCTATACACCAGCATGGAGCATCCAGGGGCATTGAAGCCATATGGCAAGCCTTCTGTTATTCCTTGCCAGATGAATAAAAGAAAGCCAAGTAAACCTCAGTGTTTACCCCCCAAGGCTAGTAGAGGTTGGGCATTTCATCATAATCCGTACGTGCTGACAGAGGTTGGACATACCATCATATTGTTCCCTGAGGATTTGTTTTATCTTTGTGAAAGTTAGGGTTAGGACTCAGAAATGCTTTGGCAGGAGGTGCTACTTGTCTTTGATTAGCAGGCCCTATAGCATTTGGCTAAATATTTTTTAGGGATACATTTTGTTATTTATTTTGAATATGAGTGCAGAGGCTTGGGTCCTCTAGAGCTGGAGTTGCAGGCAGTTGTAAATGCCTGACATGGGTTCTAGGAACTGAACCCGGATCTTCTAGAAAAACGGCAAGTGCTTTTAACTACTAAATCTTGCTTCAGCCCATGATTAAATATCTTTATTATGCAAATTAAAAATATTCCCATAGAGGAAATAGTAAAATACTCATCTTGTGATTTTTTTAAATAATTACTGACACATGGCTACTATTGTTGAGTTTATATTCCCTGTACATAAAACACTTTTCTGACCCGACCCCTTTTCTCAGCATCTTCCATCTGTCAGAATAAGAACCGTGGGGTCTCAGTTCCTCCCTCTTGTTCTCCTCCGGGCTGGTCCTTGTGTCTCGGCCTCTCCTCCTCCAGCTCCACCACCCATGTGCTAGAGTTCTAGGCATGTCTACCACCCCTGGCTAAGATCTCTGTTAAAATCATAACCTTACTACTGTTGTCACAGCTTTAAAAACTGACAAAGCCAAGCTTAGTGAGTTTGAAGCCAGCCTAGAACAGAGACCCTGTCTCAGAAAACCTAGATAAATAAGGACTGACACAAAGTTTCCTTAGTGCAGCTGAGTAGTCAGGGTTTCCTGTCATTAGCTGTGGTGAGTGTGGGAGTGGGTTATTCACATTAATACCCCTTTCTGTCTGAAATATATTCTGCATTTAAAAAACAGATATTTCCAAGATGAACTTCTGTTCGAACTTTGAAAAATAACTGATAAACTGTCTTTTTATAGGCTTTTCTCCCTCGTGTTTTTCTACATTTACACAGTCCACAACTTTTTGTTTTGTTTTGTTTTGGTCAAATGATTCTTAGGTAGGTAGAATATATTATAGGGAAGATTTTGTTAAAATTTTGAAAGAGTTGGGTATAAATGCACATGGCTTAAAGAGACTTTTTTTTTCTCATTTGAGACAAAATTTTATGGTTCAGCCCTGGCTATCCTAGAACTTGCTATAGGCTGGCCTCAGACTCTCAGAGAGCCACCTGCCTCTGCCTCCTGGGTACTAAGATTAAGCACCACCATGCCCAGCCTAAGGAAATTTTTGATATGGGAATTTTAAGAAAGTATTCTTGGCCAGGAAGTAGTACACCCACCTTTAATCCCAGCACTGGGGAAGCAGAGGCAGGTGGATCTCTAAGTTCAAGGCCAGCCTGTTCCAGGAAAGCCAGAGCTACACAGAGAAACCCTGTCTCAAAAATAAAAAATAAAAATAAAAAAAGAAAAGAAAGGAAGAAAGAAAGAAAGAAAGAAAGAAAGGAAGAAAGAAAGAAAGAAAGAAAAAAAGAAAGAAAGAAGAGAGAAAGAAAAGGAAAAGAAAGAAAAGGAAATAAGGACTGAAGAGATGACTCAGAGGTTAAGAGCAGCCGGGCGGTGGTGGCGCACGCCTTTAATCCCAGCACTCGGGAGGCAGAGCCAGGCGGATCTCTGTGAGTTAGAGGCCAGCCTGGACTACCAAGTGAGTTCCAGGAGAGGCGCAAAGCTACACAGAGAAACCCTGTCTCGAAAAATCAAAAAAAAAAAAAAAAAAAAAAAAAAAAAATTAAGAGCACCGGCTGCTCTTCCAGAGGTCCTGAGTTCAATTCCCAGCAACCACATGATGGCTCACAGCCATCTATAATGAGATCTGGTGCCCTCTTCTGGCCTGCAGGTATACATGCAGGCAAAACACTATACATACTAAATAAATACATCTTTTAAAAAGAAAAGAGAGGGGCTGGAGAGATGGCTCAGCGGTTAAGAACACTGACTGTTCTTCCAGAGGTCCTGAGTTCAATTCCCAGCAACCACATGGTGGCTCACAACCATCTGTAATGAGATCTGGCACCCTCTTCTGGCCTGCAGGTATACATGCAGACAGAATACTGTATGCATAATAAATAAATAAATCTTTAAAAAAAAAAAAAAAGAAAAGAGAAGTATTCTTTGTCGTGTTTTGCCAATGCTGTGTTGGAAAGAACTCCCTTGTAAAGGATACTGCTTGCTTGCTGCTGAGCCCAGAAAGCCCACTTTGCTGCTTGGCTGGAGGTGTGCTTCTGTCAGGCCCCAGTCAGATCATAGCGTCTTTGTTTTGTTCTGTAGGCCTCCAGAAACTGATCTCTTTTGACTTGGTTCTTACAGATTGACAGTGGAGGGGACACAGCATTTCCAATTCTCTACCTTTTTTCCTGAATAAGAATAGAAGAAAATGGGTCAGTTCTTAGAGCAAATCCGCTAATAGTTCTAGAGACGGCCATACCATGCATGTTTGTCTGTGTGAGGGTGTCAGATCTTGGAGTTACAGACAGTTGTGAGCTGCCATGTGGGTGCTGGGAATTGAACCCAGGTCCTTTTGGAAGAACACCGCTGAGCCATGTCTCCAGCCCCTGGCAAATTTCTTAACAACAGCAACAAAAAAGATTTCCTTCTAAGCTCTTGAGTAGACAACTAAGACCTTTAGGAAAGGAATAGCATGAGAGATTGGATTCTCATATAGAATGGTTTATGTCAACTGGAGTGTCTACTTGTAATCATCTTGTATTCATATAGTTGATTTTTTTTTTTTTTTTTTTTTTAGGATTGTGAAGATCCTAATCCTTTGATTCGAGCTTTGGCAGTTAGAACAATGGGGTGCATCCGGGTGGACAAGATTACAGAATATCTCTGTGAACCCCTCCGCAAGTGCTTGAAGGATGAAGACCCCTATGTTCGGAAAACAGCAGCAGTGTGTGTGGCAAAACTCCATGATATCAATGCCCAGATGGTGGAAGATCAGGGATTTCTGGATTCTCTACGGGATCTCATAGCAGATTCAAATCCAATGGTAATACATTGTGCTTTTATAGAGAGGGCAGCAGTTAAAATGAGTCCTTTCCAAGGCATGCTTAATAATGCGTTTTCTTTGAGACATTGACCACAGGGTAGTTGTGAGAAATAGTTTTGTGTAATGAATAGATTGTATAGTTCATATTCCTAGGTGGTTTTATTTATTTTTAGGATTAATTTTTCAGATAGTTGTTTATGGTAATTTCTTGTATGAAAATAAAACCAAATCAAAGTGATCTTTATTGGCCAACTATTGTAATGTATTCTCAAAGAACTCTAGGATAGAAATTGATTATGTTCTGTGTATTTAGCAGCCAGAATATAACACTTAAAATTATTTCTTTTCATTTGTTTGGTTTTGGCAGTGCTAAGGATCAAACCCAGAACCTTGTGCAAGTACCCCATATCTGAGCTACAGCCCTACCTCAAAGTTGGAGTTTATTTCCTTCTTGACATCTTAAGTTTTCTTTATGTAATGAAAGGAAGTCAGGTTCCAAATGATAGATTATTATTAAATTAAGTTCATTTAAATTGAGTGATTGATTACTCAGTATTGCTGCTGAAAAGATAGAGGATAATTGGCCACTTTCATTAAAGTACATCCCCCAACATTCTGTGTGTTAAAATAAGGCTTCATGTATTTAGGATGGCTTCTAATTTGTTATGTAGCTGGCCTTGAATTCTATCCTCTTACCTCTCAAGTGCTGGGATTATAGCCATATGCCACCACTTGACCTTTTTTTTTTTTTTTTGAAAAAAAAAAAAAAAAACAAGGTTTCACTGTCTTGTCTGATCATAGGCATGGGTCACCACACACTGCTAACTAATTTTTATCTGGTACAATGTTTCTTTGAAGATGAATTACACTAAGAGATAGTAAGTAATGTTAAATTATTTTTTGTTGTTGTTACATTTTAATGAATGGAGAGAGAGTTGGAATTTGCCTGAATTAGGTATCATCTTTCCTGGCAAAAGTTCTATTCCAGTCTGTGCTTTGGGGTCTTTCTTGTTCACCTTATTCCATGGCCTTGGCTTTATTATCCTTCTAGTGTAGCTGAAGGTCAAAGGATGAAGCTTATAACTTACACTGTTTAAAGGCACAGGCTGTGCTGAGTATCATTCATGGATTGTTGAGCCATTTTCTAGGATTAGGAGTAGATGTGGAAGGGCTTGGACAATGACTTCCAATAAGGTGTCATCATCATTATTAGAAAATGAACCCCACATTTTGTTTACTTTCCCAAGCAGCACCACCTGGCACCCTTTTAAAAAGATTCTATAAAAAATTAAAGAATTGAGTCTGTATGGCAGTACTATTTTTTTTTTTTTTGCTTTTTTAATTAGTGTGTGTGTGTGTGTGTTTGTGTCTGTGTGTTTGCAAGCATGTGCATGTACATGCTGTGGGTCTCTTCTCCCACCATGTGAGTTCCAAGGATCAAACTCAGGTCCTCAGGCTCTTGGTTTTAAGTACCATTACATGCTAAGTCATCTTACCAGTCCTGGCAATACCAGTTTTGTGGACTGCTTAGTTGGTACAGCGTACTTTTGCCATTGTTTGTGGTTCACTCTGTCATTCTGAGCGACCATCTTTGAAATTCTCTCTCCAAGGACAAATGAGGTGATAAAGTTCTAAGCACCAAGCAGATAGGCAGAATATCTTGTACCCTGTGGAAACCTATTAAATATTCAGTGAAGCTAAGAATGGATTGAGGCAAAAATAAATTCTAACTCCTACAAGCAATTCTAGGTTAAAGGGTTTAAAAAGGCACCTCTACGCTCATGTAAATTCTTCCTTATGAAGCCTAATAAATGTTAGGGTGTAAGGACTGGAAAGCAGTCGGGTTTTTGTTTGTTCGTGAGGAAATGGGATTTGAAATCCAGGTAACCCTGGAAGATCTGTATCAGGTCAGCTGAGAGCATGCATGCCTAGTTTGCTGATCTGTTTTAGGCCTCCTCTGCAGGGAGAGGGGTGTTTTTTGTTTTTTTGGCGGATGGTTTCTATTTAAATTTATATAAATATATATATATATATATATTAACTAATGTCCCCGTGAGTTGTTGACGTTTGTTTTCACTGTACAGTCCCGAATGTGTTGGGCACTCATTCTGCAGCCTAGGTTGGCCTTGAACTGTCAGTCTCAGTGTCTCAGACTCTTGAGGACTGGGATTGCCATCACTCCTGACTGTTGGTGACACGTTAGCTTGTTTTTTTGTTTTTTTGTTTTTTTTTTTTGTTTTTTCGAGACAGGGTTTCTGTGTAGCTTTGAGCCTTTCCTGGAACTCACTTGGTAGCCCAGGCTGGCCTCTAACTCACAGAGATCCGCCTGGCTCTGCCTCCCGAGTGCTGGGATTAAAGGCGTGCGCCACCAACGCCCGGCACGTTAGCTTGTTTTATAACAACAAATTGAGAGTTGATTTGAAGAGACTTTACAAGTATGTTTGAGGAGACTTACAGAAAACAATTTAAGGTTACTTGGTAGGTTTATGAGAAACTCACATTCTGGGTGGCCTCTCTCCCACTGAGAGAAACTGTTTTCTTCACATCCCTCTAGACTGTTTTATTGTCTGTTTATTGTAGACTTACAGTTACCAAAAAGTAACCTTAAGTAAATGCTAGAATTAATTAAAATGCATTTTCCTTTCATCAGTGGGATCAGATGCAAATAACGAATAGACCAAGGTGCATGAGTGGTCAGTAACATCTGAGGGCTAGTGGTGGCATGTTAGCATACTAGCTCAAACACCTCAGAAGCTCCTAAGGCTGACTATGGTTCTGTGTCACTTGAAAAGAGAAATTTAATTCATAATGCCTGTGTGCTAGGCACAATGACAGTTGTTTTTATGTAAAATATTTCACTTTGTTTTTGTGTCTGTCTGAAGTAGTTCCATGTTTCAGATCAAGAAATGTGCACTCAGAGACTGAGCTGTCTCAGTGTGCTGTGGCTAGTTGTAATGCAGCCAGGATTGCAGCCTGAGTCCCAGCCTATCCTGATCACTTTGTGGATATGTGTAAAGAAACAAACTTAATTGTATACATACCCCACACGTTTTCATTTTTTCAAAATGGTTTAGAGTTAGAATACATGAAAGCCTTTAATTATCTGTACCCTGTTACTATGAAGTCACCCGTCCTCTTACTCTAATTATGGGTATGAGTCCTTATCCTTGGGGAGATTCTCTTCCACCTTTTCCCAGGCTGTCCCACATGGTGGCAGCACTGCACCAACCAAGACTAGGTTGTCTGAAGGGACACGGTCCCACCTCAGTGTTCTTACAGATCAGAACAGCTTCCTAGAGGGAAAGCACTGGAACACTTGTAGAAATGACTTCAGAATCTTTGGGGAGGGCGCTTTTCAAGACAGGGTTTCTCTGTATAATCTCCCTAGCTGTCCTGGAACTCACTCTGTAAACCAGGCTGGCCTTGAACTCACAGAGATCCACCTGCCTCTCAGGTGCTGGGATTAAAGACATGCACCACCACCACCTGGCCAGAATCTTTTCATAAGAGAATAAAATGTAAGTCAAGAGCTGACAATGCTTGGAGTGATATCAGCTCTGAGTACTAGCATTGATGTGCCTTGCTATAAGTAATAGAACTTTTTTTCCCTTCTGTCACTTTTTAAAATTTACTTATTTTTATCTTATGTGCATTGATGCTTTGCCATGAGTGTCGGGTCCCTTGGAACTGGAATTGCAGACAGTTGTGAGCTGTCATGTGGTTGCTGGGAATTGAACCCAGGTCCTCTGGAAGAGTAGTCCTTGCTCTTAACCGCTGAGCCATCTCTCCAGGCCCTCCTTCTGTCATTTTTGGGGTTTTCCTGTAGTTATTTCACTACTTTCAGCTGACTCTCAGTGTCCTAGTTGACAGAGGAAAGGCTAGTTTTGAGGTAAAAACTGCTCGACTCTGTTTAGTGCTAGCTTTATGCTAATGCTGTTTAATCTTCCTGTTTCCTCCTCTGGAAAATGAGAGATACTGTCTCCAAGAGTTGGGAGTATCCAGGCTAGAGAGAAGGCTCAGTGGTTAAAAATGCATGCTGCTCTCCAAGTTCGGCAGCTTCTACATCATAACTGTCTAGAATTCCAGCTCCGGGGACTTCTACACCCTTTTCTTGCCTCTAAGAAGGACCCCACACTCATGTATGTGTGTGCACGCACACACACTTAAAAACATACACACATAGTTAAAAATAAAAAAAATTAAATATAAAAAAACTTAGGCCAGGCCTGCTTAATGCACATCTTTAATCCAAGCACTTGGGAGGCATAGATAGGCAAATTTCTGTGAGTTTGAGGCCACCATGGTCTATATAGCGAGTTCCTGGCCAGACAAGGCTACATAGAGAGACCTTTTCTTAAAAAAGGAGGGGGAGAGGATTGGGAGTATTAATTGGGATTTAAAACTGTACTTATTAAAGTACCTGGCATATTTCCAGAAGATGGCTGCTACTGTCATTATGAAGTAGACATTAGGTCAAGGTCAACATTATCCACATTAATTTAATACCTGTGCGTTTTGATAGAATAAGATCTTGTAATAACGGAGTTAAGCATACTTTCAGTTGTGGATTTTACTAGCCCCCTTTGTAAGGAAGCTTGTCTTCAGGATGAAGACACACCAGGAGCCACAGGAACACAGCTTCCGTGATTTCTTCACAAATACCAGAATTTTAGAGACATCATTTGATAAGTATGTTTGCAGGAAAACAATGCACTTGAATGAAGCGTTCTCTAAAGTTTTCGTCATGTTAGTCTCTTCCTTGCTTGATTTGGCTTTGCTCTCTGGTGTCTTGCGTTTTCTTTCTACAGCTAACATTTATACTAGGATCCGCTCTTTGAGAGTCTTCCTTGGCAGCGGGACTGTGTGTGCTTTGCTCTTTGGTGTTGAGCTCAGTGCTCTGCCCCTCTGGCTTACGACAGAACCCTTGTGATCTCCATTTCCCAGCCCTCCTATCACTCAGCAGCCCGTGGAAATACCCGTTTTCTATTGCTCCGGCCTCC